CATTTTCAACAATTTTCGATAACAATAATTGCATAAGCACACGAAATTCATCGCTGGTATTCTCGATCCGTGCCATTTTCAACAGTATTTCACGCATAACTGACTCTAGATGGATCGTAAATGTAACCGACAATGGTCCAGTCTATCGTAACACCGGCTTGATATTTACTTTCGATATTTATTTTGCCAAAGCCAATACGATATTTGGTGCACGACTGTCATTTGGCAAGATAGCGCAAGAATTTAGTCTCAGACGAGAGAAGAACACGGAAAATAGGACAGGACTTACCGAATCCGAATCATCGCGCCGCCATTGCAATGTCTGTAATGTTTGGAGCACCGTAAGAGTGCGTCACACGCCATCTTCCGTCCAATAAATACATTAGATGCGTTCAGCAACTTTTTCGTAACGTTGTGCGCTTTCTAAGTCTTTTGTTCGCCTCCGCGGCGATTGGATGTGGTTCCTGTAACTACGCATATTTTTAATCTTGGGGACTGCGTACGCGTTGTCCCTGTTTCTCTTTTATTTCCATCCAAAATCGTTGTGATTGGCGTAAGAGAAGGAGTGTAATAACTCTGCTCAGAACCATATATTGAATGAATGAATGAAATGAAGTTATGCACTTTCTCTCAACTTCTTTCTTCGCTTTTCTGTCTTCTAGTGCTGAATATATATATATATATATATAGATTTTAATATAGAAAGTAGCTGAGTTTAACGAAATAAAAGCAATCAGTAGATGTCAATGACATTGGTTCTTACTGTTAAATCCCTAAATTTAGACCGATCACGTTGACGAATTATTGAACCGTTGTATTTTCTGAACGCAACCACCGACGAGATAATATAAAGACTGATAGCCTTGAGTAAATTCGACCAAGGGGTCTGAAAGGGCCCGGAGGTAATTGAAGAGCAATGATAATATCAGAGAGGAACGTGAGAGCGGTCAATACGGCATTTTCGGCGACACCGACTTCCGCACTGGGAAAGGGCGCCATCTACATCCATTTTAAGAGAAGAACTACGATGCTACATTCACTTTCAGGTTTCGGCGGTAAAATCTGCATGTGGCAATCCGTGCTACATCTATATTCAGGCGATTTATATCCGTGCTACAACCATAATAGCGTTCTTGACAAGCACGGTCTCGCACATTGTTACGCGTTTATAATATGAATTACCATGTTAACATGTGCAAAAAGAAAAAGAATTGACATTGTGTATGATTAATATCATGAAGATCATACGAAGTGTCCGGTAATTAGCTATCAACCCGAAGTGTGAGGATAGATTAGGTTGAGACAAACATAAAAGTCCCATACCGTTTTGCGAGATTCGCAATAATTATCGAGTTATTAATGACAGAAATCTGAGGAGTAGAAGCGCGCCGACATAGATGATTGGAGAAGCGTTGCAGCTGCTCACATGCAGCTGCAACATTTAATTGCATTCGTTTGGCTTTATTTATTTCGAAAATAAAAAAATATGTACCAGGTGAGATTTCACCCATGACAACATCAACGTGATTTTCTTTGATGCTTTTTTTAAAAGTTCAGATATTCGTCGACTCGCGGGATATTTAAAATCGGAGTCTCGTCGCGTTAATTAACACGTGCTCCTCCGAGTGGATCGAATGCTCACCGACGGCCACTGTCAGTGCCACGAGTGAATGTCCGGAGCGGACGGGATGTTGAATTGAGAAGCAGGACGAAGGGAACGGGACGCGGGCAACGATACATCATGCTTCTCCAGACGTGTCAAATCGTTTATTATACAGGAGACTTTGATACGGCAACATATATTAAGATACTGGCTATTTTCCAGCAAGAAACGCTGTGTTACACAAAAATATTTTATTGGCTATGCATTATCTAAAAAGATGTTGTAGATAATATATAGCCAGTAAAACACTAGTGTGTAACACAGTTCCTTAGTTGGAAACGCCCTTAATATTTAATAAGTACTTTTATTTTTCTTGATCCTCCCCTCTCCCCCCTTTCGCTCCTTTAAGACCTCCGGACATGGTCTGCCATAGAGATGGCAACTGTGGTTGCAGCACGGACATAAACATCCGGAAAGTGGATGTAGCACAGACTTCCACCACATGCCGCCACATGCATATCACCGAGATCTGAAAGTGGATGTAACGTCGTAGTTTCTCTCTCAAAATGGATGCAGATGGCGTCCTTTCCTAGTGCGGAAAGTCGGTGTCGCAGAAAATGCCGTGATTTACGTACATTTCCGAAGATGGATGGAAATGCACTAATCAGAACGCAGTATTTTCATCCAGCAAGCAATCCAGCACGAAAACAAGCACCGTGTACCGCTGGCTTTAGGCTAATATTACATTTGTCGTACAACAATCTTTTCGAATACGTTGATTGATTAACAAACAGAATATTTCTATTGCTCTGCATACGCCAATCAATGTCTCCGAAAAGCTTATCGTATAACATATGTAATATTAGCCTTAGCCACTTTCAGATTTCTCTTTGTAAGCGTGCAATGCGCTGCAGCAGCATCTAGTTCCATCAATGACGTCATAAGTGGCAACAATTGGTTTGTTCTTTTTAGCTGCACTGCAGAACTGGTGCAATAAGTTAGAATGAGACAAATATATCTTTTCTCACTTTAACTTATCGCACCAGTTCAGTAGTGCAGCTAAAAAGAACAAACCACATGGCTGTGTTCCGATATTCACTGCCAGCACTGAAATTCTATAGTATACGTAACATAAAGTATATATATTTTCAATACTGACAGTGAATATCGGAACGCAGCCTAAATAGACGACAGATCGTAGCTGTTCACATAACCTCATTTTTAGTTTGTGTAATAATGGAGCAGGAAAAAGTGCATGTCCGACATTGCTTACTTTTTCTGTTTAATCAACAAAAAACCGCTGCAGAAGCAAAAAGAATGATTTGTGCGATATATGGAGATGACGTTGTGACCGATCGCATGTGTCAATACTGGTTCAATAGATTCAAAACTGGTGATTTCGACGTTAATGACAAGCACCGCTCAGGACGGCCTGAGAAGATAGAAAATTGTGAACTGCAAGCACTACTTGACGAAGACTCTAGCCAAACGCAACAACAGCTTGCAGCACAACTAGGAGTTGCTCAAACAACAGTTTGTAGGCGATTACATGCACAGGGAAAGGTTCTGAAGGAAGGAAGATGGGTTTCGCGTGAACTCTCCAAACGCGTTAGGAACCGGCTGCACATTTGCCTTTCATTGCTTGCCCGACAAGAAGAGACGAATTTTTTGGAAAATAATAACAGGCGATGAAAAGTGAAGATTTATTACGACAATCTTAAACGGAAAAGATATTATGTAGACCCCGGCCGAGCGACGCCTTCGACGCCGAAACGAAACATTCATAGACATAAAGTCCTTCTCTGTATTTGGTGGGATGAGAAAGGCGTACTATACTATAAGCTCCTGAGACCGGGCGAAACTGTCACTGCGGAGCGTTATAGTCAACAGTTGGAATTGCTGACTTGAATTGACAGTGCTGACAGTTTGAACCGTTTGAACGATAATCTAGAGCAAAGAAGACCGTTCACTGGCAATGGACGTCGTTCGATTATTTTGCTTCATGACAACGCTAGATCCTATGTCGCTGAGGCGACTCAGCAAACTTTATTCGAGCTCGAATGGAAAGTCCTACCTCACCCGGCATACTCGCCTGACATTGCTCCTTCTGATTATCATTTTTTCCGATCGATGCAGCACGGTCTCTTTGGCACACGCTTTCGAAATGAGGCCGATGTCCGAAAATGGGTCGATGAATTCATCGCGTCGAAAGATACCGCGTTCTTCCGACGAGGAATCTATCCTTTGCCCGAAAGATGGCAAAAGGTTGTAGAAAGCGGGAGAGAATAGTTTCATTAAAAAATAATGTATACATTTCGTTTGGTGAATAAAATAATTCAACTCAAAAACCTACAAAACTTATGCATAGACCTAATATAAAATTTATTATTTGAAATAATGAGTTATAACTTTGCTCGTAGTATAAAGTTATTTTATAGTTGATAACTTACTTGTATAAAACTAATAATTAGCTAATGAAAGTAAGAACTAAATATATATTTATGTATGTGTTCAAGTCATCAGTATGTTTCTCTCTCTAATATTTACTATATATTACAGAAAATACTTGAACTATACATAACATTTTTTATACTGATGTTCATAGATTATTTGAAGTCTTAACTAAAATTAAAATAACCAAAATACATATATACAACAACAAATACATATATTTCTTGACATTATATTAGGATTTAGTTTTATTATTGTATCATTGGCTTTATATTTAATTAAGACAATTAATTACGTTTTATATATAAATATATAAATGAAAGGAGAAACAATTGAATTATGATACGGTATCGGTGATATGGTATCGCCTTCTTTGTGATCGCTGGAGAAGAAAGCACGGAGGAGAAAATGCGCAATAGGTGGGGACCATTGAATGAAAAATACTTAAAGGCTATTACACACAAATGAACGTAAGCAGTAAAGAAACTGACCAGTAAAGAAACTGATCACAATCAATTATTCTCGTAAGTTTAAAAATGGCGTCCTTAAATTTCGATTGTGATTGGTCGATTTGCTTACTGCTTACGTCTTAGGCCCAGTTTCACAACTTGCTTTAAACTGAGTTTAAAGCTAAACCGATGGTTAAAAGCAATAGTATATGCGCATATACTATTGCTTTTAACCATCGGTTTAGCTTTAAACTGCGTTTAAAGCAAGTTGTGGAACTGAGCCTTACTCCTGAATTTCGTTTGTATGCGATGGCCTTAACGCGGCACGATACGTTACTTCCCAGTGTACCTAGTATAGACTGCCTTTAATCCTTTATCAATTTGCTTGATCTTTACTATTTATCTTTTATTTTTACTACTTTATCTGATACTATTTTTATTTTTACTATTTTATCTGTTACTTTATCAATTATATATCTGTGTAGCACTGCCAGGTACACAACCTTTGTCACCACGTTCTTTTAGGGAATATTCATTCGCCGTGAGCCTGCGCGTTAGCCTGTCGTCAGTGTCGTCGAGAGCAGGCGAGATCTCGAAACGCACGATCTCGAATCGTGTTTGCGGCGCGGTACGTGAGTGCGTCGTGTATTTGTTTCTTTCTCGTCCTACGGACTCAATCGGGAACATGACGCAAGAAGGCCAGTAAGTACATCTTGATCAGCGTAATTCGGCGTGGCGATGCTCGTAATCGTGCTTGATCGTTGAATCCTGCGTTCGCTCGACCGCGTACGGTCGCGTTAGAGCGGCCGGCCGACGTTCAAGTGCCGCCCCGTGGCTTTCGAACAGCACCGCCATGTTGATGGGTCGGTTTTATTGATTCTCGAAGGTTTCCAGGCGAGAAATTCGACGCGATCGGTCCTCGCGGACGAAAATGCGAGCGCTGATTCTGGCCCGCAGCTTCGTCTGGCGTGGATTTGCGTTCTCTGATTCCGTGAACCGCATCCTGCTCGGTCGCGTCCTAAGGGTCGGATGGATGAAGCGGGTCGCGTGTCGTAAAGCATGAACTCGATGACTCTTGGTTCTCCGGAGAGCCCGTTATAACTCAATTTCATAATAATTTTCCGATGAACTGTAGTGTAACAATTGTAGGAGTCTTTCTTCCTCGTCGGGACATTTCTTACGATCCCGCGAATGTAACGATGTTCATACAAAGCGTTCAGGTAGCCTTGGAATCTGATCCTTGACCTAACCTATAGATGTACAACAGGTCAAATTTCCTGTTGCCCCGTACACGTGGAGAATCGCCTGATGATGTTCGCCCGTCCAGTTTTCTTAAAAAATATTAACTCTTTCCGGTCGGACCCCGGCAAGGCTATTTTATTGTTGCCGTCGCATGCCGGGGTATTCTCAGCACAGGCATGCGGACTGTTTTGCAGTGAAACATGACACTGCTTTTATCGCACAGTATATGAACCTAATCGTTGAATATGAATTTTGTCTACAGGAATCATTGTTTCAGTCAGTTGAAATCGTTTTTTCCGAACAGGCAGCACACTTAATATTATTGATATTTAATGTTTTTTTCTTTTATTACTTATTAGTATTTATATTATTTTTAATGTTGTAAAAATTATATTCTGAAATGTCTAAGAGGGGACAAAAGCCTAGTGAATATTAAAATGTGCAAAGTAGTGGCGATGAATTTTACACTACTATGCAACATGCATAAACTATAATTAAGTCTAGATGAAATATCAAATACTAAGATAGTAAATAATATGCACATAGCTTAAACAAACTCATTTGAGTAAAATTTGTACATTTTGTAAGCAATAATTGACTGAGTGTGCGCGACCCAAAAATAATTCAGATCAGTAAGACTATCATGCCTATGAAAAATACAACTGGAAAGAGTTAAAATATAACTTGTAACAATCTGAATTGTTTATTCTGTACTCCTGTATATATTGTATATTTTCAGGATACCTCCTCCACCAGTCATGTGGGCTCAGAGGAAAGATATCTTGTATGTTACTATTTGCCTAGAAGACTGTAAGGATCCTATAATTGAAATCGAACCAGAAAAAGTATATTTCAAAGGAGAGGGAGGCACAGAGAATAAAATGCATGAAGTTACAATTAATTTATACAAGGAGATTGATCCAAACAAAACTATAAAAAACATGAAAGGTAGAACCTTCGAATTAGTTCTTGTTAAGAAAGAGGAGGGACCATATTGGCCACGATTAATCAAGGACAAAACAAAGGCTCACTGGTTAAAGAGTGATTTTAACAAATGGAAGGATGAGGATGATACCGAAGACGAAAGCAGTCCACCTGACTTAGAAGAGGTATCTTGTATTAAGTATTAATTTTTTATGTTCTACATAATGGTCGTTTATTAAAAGAATATTTCCTCTGATTTTTATAGATGATGCGGCAAATGGGTGGCTTAAGCGATTCCGGTGACAAAAAACCGAATTTTGATGACTTAGATGATTTAGGGGATGCCGAGGCGGATAGCGATGACGAAGATCTTCCGGATTTATATGATTAAAATAATAACTGTAAACGATACCTGTATCGAATAATTAATTAAATAATGAATTACACTAAAAACAAATGGCAACCTAATGATAGAGCACGATTGGGCAATATTTCAGTAGGCCTTGCTATTTGTATTCTTCTATTGCAAATTTTGCAGATTCGCTAATGACCGTGTTGCAAGTAGCAAACTGAATGAATATAATAACTTTATTGGTACAGTAAAGAAGAATATTAGAGTATGCAAAGAGAAAGAAAGCAAGCAACCAATAGGCGAGATAACAGCATTGAAGCTGCTGTATTATAGCCTTACCTGAATACAAAGAAATTTTAATAAAAATAACGAATGAAAGTTTATAAAAATTGGATGGAAACTGTATAACTCTCCGCAGCATAACGAAATAAATGAAGATGCAAATTGAATAAATCAAGATAGAGCATATTTCACTATAAAACAGAAGATAGCAAAGAAGTTTGCACGAAAATATATTAAAGAAAAAAAAGGATGAAATGAGACAAAACAGTACCGGGTAAGGCACAGCGCATACTGTAAAACAACCGATGAACATATACACGTCTTTAAGGATCCTTCACATCTCTCCTCCCTATTAGCCTGTAGTTCATATATTAAGTTATAATGGGACAAGCTTTTTTAATAATGTATCGTATAAAATATCAAGAAGAGATAAAACAGTGGGAGTAACAAAAATTACTTGTGGAATTATTTTGTAAGATCCTATGAAGCACTACTCGGCTGGCATGACAAATGTTATAAATGTTGTACGATGAGATAAAAATATCGATACTTTATTTCGTCTATTGAATTATTCTGTATCTATCTTTTTTTTCTTGCATTTATATCCTTGTCGAAATATATTCCCTTGGTTTCTGTGAGTGAAACTTTAAAACTTTCCATGTGTTTAAAATACGTAAATTTAGGAGTCATATTGGACAACACGATCTATCTTCTATAATATAATATAATAATCTATAAAAGATCGTGTTTAACCAACAATACTAGACGCTCCACGTAAAGCCAGATATCCAGCTGTTATATCCATCGGTAAACTTCGCACTGTCGCGAATTCTTCGGCTGTTGCGTAGTACAATTTAGTCTGTGGATCCGTATATCGTGCCTACAAAATAAAAGCAATATATAGATGTAATATTTGAGTTTATCATTTAACGATAAAAGGAAGTGACTCTTGATATCGTGAGAATAATTATCTTCCCACTCACTGGTAATCCAGAAATGTCAGAGTATTTTTTAGCAGGTTTGAAGCTTGGAGGTGCATTGATGGAACTGTCTGAAAATTAATCAATATACATGCTAAATATTATCTAACTAAATATATTTGATATGTGTTGACGCAAACAATTTTACTCTTTATCGCGCGTGAATTATTTTTAAATATTTTTGTTACACAGTTGGAATACTTCTTAACTATGTACAAATATAACAATGACATAGTGAAAATAAATCAGTTTTATCAAGGATTTCACGTACAATGTTTTATCGTGGCTGGCCACGGTAACGAACGTTCCTGAGCCAAAACCTGTTTTAATGAACGCCACGTGCGTTTTTTGCCGGTATTACTAGTGGGTCGAAACTTTTGTTGGAACGAACGATTTTTGAACACGGGCTGTGGCTTTTTGTTGGCTTCAATTATTTCTTCACTCGCCATTTCTCTATATTACCTGAAAGAAATAGCTGATAAGTAATAAATAGTCATATATGCTATAATGTGAAACTGAAACATTTTCTAGAACATTTTATCGAACCAAAACCTAATAAGAAAGATTTTGCAATAAAAATTAATTTGTATATCCATATATCACAAAAAAACAAGATATCGCTGATATTACATTTTAATATAGCATACAAATAAAGAAAATAAATGTTATCGTACATGTGTATCACCTCTATGTTTCATAAAAGCACTTTGGCACGTTAGTAATATCCAACATATTTTTTATTGCAATATCCTTTGATTTTTCAATTCTTTGTAATTTTAGATTGACATGAATGTCGTTAATATAAGCTGTAAAACTTGTTTTACTTTACTTTTCTGTTGCAAATCGACGAGATTTAGAAAGTTAAATTTTGAACAAACAGATAAATTTTCTATATTGAACATCAATAATTCTATCTTTATATTTTAGCAATTAGTTGATTTATCAATAAATTTATCTAACTCTCCAAATTGCATGCAAAAGAATCTCAGAAAATTGTATCAAGAAGTTTTGTTGTGAATGTGAAGTTAGTGTTGTTAGCCATTTGTTTATAAAGGTTTTAATAAACTTTACAATGCCGCAGATAAAAATAATGTTAACGAATATTATAAATATATATATTATAATTCATAAAAATCCAGTACTGCAGTATTTTAGTAGAATCGGATATTGTAAGTGAATTTATCTTATTACATATATCTTATCACATATAATAAAAGTTAAGATTAGTTTATAAACAATTACATATGTTGAAATTAGAAACTCTTTGTTTCTGAATTTTAGGTTATACAAATTTTCAAGCTAATACTTATTAGGAAATTATAAAAAGAACGAACATATATTTGATTTTTTGTGTTTATATTAATTTGAATTGTTAAAAATCTTGAGAAAATTTTCCTTTTGACTATTGTACATCTCTATTCTCACACATTTGAATCAAAAGACAACACTCTCTATATTAAAGAAAAATAAATATATTTTATTGAAGAAAATGTGTGAAGACGAAAAATATTAATCTGTTACCTGTCAGATGTATGTATTTACTTTCTTATCTGTCAACAATGTTTTACCTTGCATAAGATTGAACCAAGTGTAGAAAGTGCACGTGATGTGTATATAATATCACCGGGCCGAAGGGGGGAGATCATATAGAAGGTGGAGGGGATTGGATATAATATAGAGTTGAGAGGGACGTGTCAGAATTCACCTTGACGTGCACGTGAAGGTCAGAAGGGCGAGCGAACTCGAGAATCTCGTTACAGGTTGCACATCGCAAGAGCAGTTGTCACGAAACGCACGAATCATGGCACGGAAATTCTTTGTTGGTGGTAATTGGAAGATGAATGGCACCAAGAGCGAGATCAATGACATCGTCGCGTTCCTGAAGACCGGTCCGCTAGACTCTAATGTCGGTACGTGATATATATGATCAACGTATATGTGCAATGTTTCCTAAAGTTTACATGATCGTAGTGAATCCTGGAGTAAATTTTTTCCTTCGACGATTTTCATTTAATTTTGTAATTTAGGAGAAAATTGTCATACAAAAAGTCGAAACAAATCAACTAAACTTCAATCAAAAAACTTCAAGAAGTTTTTTTTTAGATTTTTTCAAGGAAATTTTTTTTTATCACAAATTCTCCATTGAGATTTAATCGTTATCATAATTATGTAAGATGAAAAATTCCAAAGTTTACCCTCTTACGAAAGATAAAAGTTCAGATTAGCCAAAGAATCACTTATGTAATATTTGTGCATGTCTTGTTCAATCTTTGACTCATATAGATTTGTTGAAACTTAACAAAATTTTGATAACTTTTAGAAGTCGTGGTTGGAGTTCCGTCGATATACCTGACATATGTGACATCTATTGTACCCAGCAATGTCAGTGTTAGTGCGCAAAATACATACAAAGTTCCTAAGGGAGCTTTCACTGGTGAAATTAGCCCAGCAATGCTCCTCGATAATGGAATTCCCTGGGTGATCCTTGGTCATTCTGAGCGTAGAAATGTGTTTGGCGAGACGGATGAATTGATTGCGGAGAAAGTTGCACATGCCTTAGAAGCTGGCTTGAAAGTAAATAATGATTCTACTAATAAAATGGTTAACTAATTAAAGATACTAAATCAGCTTGTATTTCTCAGGTAATTGCATGTATAGGAGAAAAACTGGAAGAACGTGAAGCAGGTAAGACTGAAGAGATAGTTTACAAGCAGACCAAAGCGATTGCGGACAAAATCAAATCCTGGGACAATGTGGTGTTAGCATATGAGCCAGTCTGGGCGATAGGCACGGGTAAAACCGCGACGCCGCAACAAGCGCAAGAAGTTCACGAGAAGTTACGAGAATGGTTGTCTAAGAACGTCAACCCTGACGTCTCGCAAACCTTGCGAATTATCTACGGCGGTTCCGTAACAGCGGGAAATGCCAAGGATTTGGCAAAAGAGAAGGATATCGATGGGTTTTTGGTCGGCGGCGCATCGTTAAAACCCGACTTTGTACAGATCGTTAACGCCCGTTGTTAAAATAAGAACACTTATTATCTTCCACGACATTGCGCCAAGTGAAATGTAATAGAGATTTATTCATATGAGTATAAGAGAAATTATACGTATCACTGTTCGTTCTCTAATATGTGAAGTCTATTCCAACGAACAAAGGAAAGTTATATACATCATTTTCAATCAAGCTTATAATGCTTGCTATGTATCTATACTACAGAGGTATATTGTTGTTACAACTGTTGTACATATAACTCTTGAGTGTATTTGTGACGCTACAAAATGTGCATACTAGAATCAGAAACTACTTAAACTGAAGTAACAATTCTGTTTATTCTGGATTATTTTGTTAATATAATTCCATAGCCAGAAATTACTTAAATTAAGTAACTATTAGTAGTTTTTGTTTATATGGATTTGTTTGAATAAAATTTAGAAGTATCATCAAAATTATCAGTAAATATTAAAACAAGTATGTTACTTCACACAATTGTTGTGCGAGCTTATTTAATCAATCCTCTTACAAAAACACTCTTTGGTACTTCAACATGTGAAATTTCTTTGAAATGATCCTGTTTTGCTCTTGCACAAGCGATATCTGTTAATGATTTAAAAGAACGTGGCTCCCAAATTGCTAAATCAGCTAATACTTTTCGATTCAGCAAAATGTTACATCGAGCCAAACTTTGCGTAAAAACTTTGAAAGATATACCATGTTCATGTGTAGCAGCATCTATTCTCTGTTCCTGCAACTAAAAGTAAAAAAGTGATAAAGCTACAAAATAACACTGGAGAACTAACTATAAGATACATAAAATCTAAATTACAATGAAATCTAAATTGCAATAAATAATTAATAAAATTTAATATATTTTAAATAATACCTCTAGCATATCTTCCCGTTTTTGTTGCCTGCCTGCAGTGCTATATTCTAAAGCTCTATGTACATTTTTTATTGTTATGCTGTAGCAATTTCTTCTTCTGCCTATGTAATGCTATAAATGCGAAATATTTAAAAAAATTATGTCAAGAACCAATATCGAACATGAACGTGAAACTATTTCTTGTAAAGTATTACTTACTGCAGCGAGCCTGAATATTTTGCGTTTGCGCCAAAATTCATCGGGTCCTCGGGATCTTACCAATAAAGATAACGATAAGAAAACCATATTTTATTTTAATTAACTCAATCAATCAAAAGAATTGCTCAAATTCGTAATTGTGCGTTATGTGATACAGTCTAAACATGTACTATACACTTATCACTTAAATCTGCAGAGGTTAAGTTCAATGCATTCATTAACGAGATATTAATAAAGACCGTTGATCTTATGGCATTTTGGGCACCAGAGAACTTTCGCTATGCACTAACCTCCTCTTAAGAATATCGTGACTGAAATATGAAGCTGTAGCTCGAAACAAGCATAGATGGTAACAGATATAGTATACGTGACACAAACTATGTATTTTCAGTACTGAAAGTGAATTTCGGAACGCAGCCTTGGATTATTTCGTCGGTGCTGTGGCGGAACCAGGCGGAACGCATATAGCGTATAGTGTGTTTTTAAATTAGGTTAATTTGTACATTGTACACGTGTGAGAAGTTTAAATTACTTTAATCTTGATATATGACAAGTGAATATGGGTAAAAAAAAAGGGTAATATAATATTTAAATAATTACTTTGATATAAGTTAGACGGCAGGCTATGATAAAACTGTAATTGTATATATATTATGGTGGTCTTGAATAATCAAATATTAAACATAAATTTATCAACAAATTTGCAGTCAACGATTTTCCTTATTAAAATATAAAAAAAATTAATAATTAAGCAATAAAGGAAGTTTATTTAAAATAACGATTTGAACTTAGGATAATATAACAAATACTTAATATTTTATATCAATATATGCTATAGAAGCAGGAAATATTTTATATCTGGTTTTCTATTTTCATAATGTAGAATATATTTCCATGATATAATATACATCATTTTTTGCTATCTTAGAAAAAAGAAGCCTCTTGTTGATGATGAGGATATTGAAGACATTGATACAGATATTGAAGATATGGATGCTTTAGCTTCAGATGATTTGGAAGAATATACAGAAACTGAGAAAAAATTATTAGAAAAAGTACGAAAAGCACATGTCTCTGAAAATTTTGACAGTGACGATGAAGTATATGGATTGCAAGATGAAAATGATGAGGAAGAGGAAGATTTGCAAGATTCAATGGAGTCTGACATTGAAGAATTGCAAGAAGATGATGATATGCCTGACGATAGAGCTTGGGGCAAAAGAACACAAAATTTTTATTCATCGGATTATAAATATACAGATTATTCATCCGCAACTCAAAAGGACTTTGAAAATGCAGAGATAGAAGAACAAGAAGCAAAGAAACTTTATACAAGATTAGCTAATGAGATTTTTGATATTACTGATGACAGAATTATGCAAATTACAGAAGATAAGGATGACCAAAAAGATGATGGGCAAACCTTGGAGTTCAGTAAATCAAGCAAGAAACACCAACAGATGGTTGCACAAAAGGAATCAAGAGCATTTACAATTTTACTCATAGATTTTAAAGGTATTAATTAATAACTATTTATTGTATTCATACCTAATTCCTGATCTAATCAGGACAATAAACCTATTGATTTAACTAGTTAGATCAAAGTTTTTTTTTCATTCTAATAGATATTAAATAAATAATTATGTTTATTACAGAATGTATAACAGAGATAAAAGAGATCTTGGTACCTTTCCTTAAACTGGTTGAAAATGGCACATGTCCTAATTGTGATGCTGTGACTTTTGTCAAAATTAAATATCACCTTATGTTAAATTATTGCATCAATATTTCTTTCTACTTGATGTTAAAAGCTCAGGGATCGCCGACACAATTTCATCCAGTTATCAAGCGTCTAGAACAATATCGTCAGCTGCTAGGTCAATTACAGTCAAAAGAGGGAAATCTACTGAAAGAAGTGGTAGAAATCGTAAGAGCAGTCGAAGAAGGCAAGTCCCTTTATAGCATATCAAACGGTTCTCAAAGACTAGTTGAGGAGAAGACTTCGAGACTTGTTGGTTTGTGTGAAAAAGTGACACGTCGAAAGGAGATGCAAAACGAGCAGAAAGAGTTATTACCTGATAATATGGATATGGATAGTGTGGGAGAAGAGTTTATGGATGAAGATGATTCCAAGGCAGAGGAAAATTACGATAATAAAGGTAAAGAGGATGAAGAAAACAAAGATGTTGTCAACGAGGAAGGAAAGAGAGCAATAACATACGAAATGGCGAAGAACAGAGGTCTTACGCCTTATCGTAAAAAGGAGTTGCGCAATCCACGAGTGAAGCACAGAAATAAGTATCGTAAAGCTAAGATCCGCAGAAGAGGCGCGGTATGTATTATGAGATACAACGAAATTATTGATACGATGCAATTTTTTCGATGATTTATATAAAAAATATTTCTTACAGGTGAGAGAAGTAAGGAAGGAACTAACTCGTTATGCAGGAGAGATTTCTGGTATTAAAGCAGGTGTAAAGAAAAGCATTACATTAAAATGAACATCATTTTGCACAATTACTTTATAAGCATACAAATGTTACACATATTTTTAAAATATTGTAAATTCGATTAAACTATTCAATTAAACATCGCTATTTTATTAATTCTGTGTGTTATAAACTTTAAGTTTATCATTAGATTATCAAGTGAAATATTACACATTTGATATAGTAGACAAATGCTTTATTTTATCAGAAAATGTATATACATACACTGAAATAATGGTGCTCCAATAGATTCTTTAACAAGTTAGGTCCTCTTATCAGATTGGATGTATAACTTTTGGTTATTCCTAAGACTTTACACATATCTCTCCGCAGTCATAAACTTGTAAAGTATTGGAGGAACAGTTTGTAGTACTTATAAAACAGAGAACGTAACTTAAAGTTGACAGGTAACTTAAACTTCTACTTTAGCTAATATGTCCGATTCGCGGAACAAATGGTATTCTTTGTTGTCTTCAAGTTCAACTTTCGTGCCACCATATTCAGGGAGTAAAACAACATCTCCAATTTTAATGCTCAAAGGTACATGATCTCCTTTCTGAAAGAAAAATAAGATTATCAGCAAATACTAAGCAGATAAAATACTTTAAAAAGAAATATATTTAATTTTTCAAACATAGAAATGCTTCCAAGAATTTGACCACAGAAATACTTTAATTTGAAATATATATTATATACATACATCATTCCTTGATCCGGGTCCTGTCGCCACAACAGTACCCCGCAATACTTTTGCCTGTGCTTTTTCTGGAAGTACAATACCACCTTTTGTTTTAGTTATGGCCTCAGCCCTTTGTACGAGGACTCGGTCGAAAAGAGGAATGAGCCTCTTCACAGCATTAGCAGCAGCCTGAAAGCACATATATACATTCGTAATTATTGTACAATGTTATGAGAATTTTTAATTTCAGATACTGGTTTGGAACATGACGGTAGTTGTTGATTTAATTTTTTGTGACTCGTCCAATCGTTTTCATTATAGACTTTCGGTTTACGATTGTAATATATATATATATATATAATATATATATATATATATATATATATATATATATATATTTGTAATGCATGTACATGAAAATTTTCCAAAGAAAAGAATCAAGGGTGATGTAAATTGTCCGTGAAATTGCAAGCGACTACATAAGATACCTGTAACTCCTGCATATTCAATTGCTCCGCTTCGCGCTAAAATTTAAAACTATCACCGACTGCAAAGCGGCAAAGGAAATTGCAATTGTGATACCGAACGTGCCTATCTCGGCTGCGGATCTATAAACAACCTTATAAACAAAAGAAGTTCGCAAGTCCGAGCGGTAATGGACGCAGAAGCTATCGCGACGCGACAAAATACGATATCTCCGACTACATCCATACTTTCGGAGAAGACGACGCGAGATGGGGAGTTGCCGTCGTCCGAATCATACATCGTTTAAAGGTTACCAAATAGATAAAGCGCGAGTTTCTTAAAAAGCGAACGAGAACCCTCGTTTCTCATTGACAGAAACGTTACAGGCGAAAATAATTAGATGAATGTGCGTCTCACCATAATCGTGCAGTCTCTGTGTAGTCAGGAACGTGTGGGAAACCGGCGAGAGCACGCTCGAGAATACGCTTCGTTGTGTAACCTAAAGTCGCAGCCGGGCCGGAACGGAGTAGAGCACGCCGCGATATTCTCGAAGCTTCCTGTGTGATCGCGCTTACCCCACCACCTACCGCCACCGCCACCACCACCACTTCACCGTCATTTATCGATCATTCACTATAGCTGTGCGAGCGAGATTGCCAGGCACGTGGGGGTTATATAACTAAGCCGAGAAAGTTCCCGTAAAAGCGGCTATTTTCCCAACAATTCTTCTTTTGCAGAATTAGACGTGAGCCTCCCGACACTTCATATGATGATGAAATCTGCGTGAATCGGCAGCAATCTCGAGGCGACGTGCGCGTTATGTAACGCGCTCGCGCCTTGACTTTACTGCAAATAAACGCAGAAATCGTCGTTACCGACGGTACTTGTAGGCTGATAAATATTAAAATAATATGTAATAAAATAATGTATTAAAATCAATAGGGTACCTATTCCTGGAACTCGTCGGAATCGATTCCGATCGGAATCGATATTCCGACGAGTTCCATGATAGGTATGTACCCAGGATATGGTGTTCTTTCAGAGCAGCGAGCAGGGGCTCGACTTTCCAAGCGTTTGCCAATGTTTCACGATGACCGTTCGTGTATCCATAGGGGCAGATAACGAGGAATAAATAAGATCGGGCGATAAGAATCCCGTTTCCCCGACGCGTACGACTCGTCGAGTAAAATCCTTGCCCGATATTTTCTGCTTCTCAAGAGCATGCCGGCAACTTTGTTTCACATTTCGATTCGCCTTTGTCATGCGAAAATGATATCCTTCGGTGTGGAACAAAACCGCGACGGTCAGCACAAAGGTCTCTTTTCGCTAACCTATCGACGACATCGAGAATGGAAAGCGCATTGAATCCTTGCTTTATGTAAATAAACGCATAGGACTCGCAATAACATTGTATTTTTAAACGCGTGCCAAAGGGGAAAAGGAGCATGCGAAGATGATCAACGGCAACCGGATGATTGCGTCATGCGGCGTGATCGTGCTTTCTAGAATCTATGCCATGCGGCCATTTGGCTCAATGCATCGAACGATATTCATTGTTCGCGAGCTCGATACCCGGCGAATTGTCGAAGGAATCGCTCGCGGCGGTGCCCGTCTCTCTCATTTCTCACACGCGACGTCACATTGATCGCCAAATATTTAATTCTTTTTGTAGATTGAACTATTGTGGGGTTAGGTTCCGTTCGCACGCTAGATCGGAAAGGGGGGTGGTGGAGCAGGGTCGGCATATGATAGCGCGCGCTCTCCTCCGCATCTCCTCCTCTCCCTATTCCACTCGTGCGCTGCTCGCAGAAGACAACGTGCGGTCATACCGTGCCGATCTTCAACTCGCTCGCTCTCAACAGCGTCTCTTCTTGATCGTCCGATCGTACCTCTGAGGAATCCCGCAAGGAATCGAAGGTAAAAGGCGATCGTGAAGTCGTCGACACGTGTTTGCTCGTCGCGCGAAGATCCTACAGATTCGCCGCGACGAAATTTCGCCGGCCGGTCGCGCTCGTGCGAGTTCACGAATTCTCGGCAGAGATCCGCTGAATCGACGTATCTCGTAAACGACGAGAGGACGAGCGAACGCTCGCTACACGTGGCCAAGCACGCGATCGATCGTTAATCGAGTGGCTTTTTTAGCCCAAGTACCGCGGTAATTTTATCACCCGCGAAAATTAACCTCCAATCGGGCCTACAATCCACGCGGAGTTTATATAATCGCGTTTCCATGCCGCGCGTGTGAATAATCGGCAATGCGACATATATATTCGTCCCTGGATCTCGATTATGCGCTATAAAAATCGCATTCGGTTCCACCTTGACTATTTCGTCATTTATGAAGCGTGTTCCGTGAAATCGCACGGACTTAGTAACGTGATAGGGGAATTCAATGAGCACTTTTGTATTACCGACAGCGTTTGTAGAATTTCATTGATAAAGAAATTGAGTTTATTTAGACTTCAACGGCGGAAATTAATGGATACCCGACAATTTTGTTAGAATATTTCATGTGCACACGCCCTTATGATCATCTAGTTCAAATCCTTAATTGTTTGTTTTAAGATTTTATATGTATCTTATATGTATTGGAAATATTTCACTTCTTTTAACTTAAGCAAGATAAATTACACAAGAAGTTGGAATTGTATTATTGTTTCAGTAACACAATTTTAAAATAATTATATCAAAATATATTTGTATATAAGTAATACATATTTATTTTTAGTAAACTGTATGTTACTAAGAAGAAGACTCATCTTAAATTTAAAACCTTGACTAATATATATCATTTATGTTCACACAGATGCACAGACTACCTACTATGTTGAGAGGAACGGCCCTGCGCCAATTGCAGGCACGTACTTATGCCAAAGATGTGCGTTTCGGAGCAGAGGTTCGTGCCTTGATGTTGCAGGGTGTAGACATATTGGCGGATGCTGTCGCAGTGACAATGGGTCCCAAGGGACGTAATGTAATCTTGGAGCAAAGCTGGGGAAGTCCAAAGATCACGAAGGATGGTGTGACTGTAGCAAAAGGCATCGAACTAAAAGATAAGTTCCAAAATATCGGAGCTAAATTAGTGCAGGATGTAGCTAATAACACTAATGAGGAAGCTGGAGATGGTACTACCACTGCAACCATATTGGCCAGAGCAATAGCCAAGGAAGGATTTGAGAAGATCAGCAAAGGTGCAAATCCTGTAGAAATCAGGCGTGGTAAGCTTCATTTGATTTGATTTTTCAGTGGAAAAATTGTTTATGCATGATCTTTTATGAATGAAATCTTTATATATCTTGCGCAGTGTCTTAGGAAATATTAAACTTTGACCTGCACTGCGAGTTAAGACTTGAACCATGAGCTATGAGCAGGTCTCTTGATGTAAAACGACATTAAAAGATCCGCGACTTTGTAGGCGTGATGTTGGCGGTGGAGAAAATCAAGGATGAATTGAAGATGCTGAGCAAACCCGTCACGACGCCCGAGGAAATCGCACAAGTAGCGACGATATCCGCCAACGGCGACCAAGCTGTCGGTAACTTGATCTCCGACGCCATGAAGAAGGTCGGCAAAGAAGGTGTAATCACGGTGAAGGACGGCAAGACGCTCAACGACGAGTTAGAGATTATTGAGGGAATGAAGTTCGACCGAGGCTACATCTCCCCGTACTTCATCAACTCCAGCAAAGGCGCCAAAGTCGAGTTTCAAGATGCGCTGCTTCTCTTCAGCGAGAAGAAGATCTCGTCCGTGCAGAACATCATCCCCGCCTTGGAGCTGGCCAACGCGCAACGCAAACCTCTTGTCATAATCGCCGAGGACGTGGATGGCGAGGCTTTGTCCACGCTCGTTGTCAATCGGTTGAAGATCGGACTGCAGGTGGCTGCAGTTAAGGCACCCGGCTTTGGCGACAATAGGAAAGCCACTCTCCAAGACATGGCAATATCCACCGGTGGCATAGTCTTCGGCGATGACGCCAATCTCATCAAACTGGAAGACGTTCAGGTGAGACACGCGCTAGCATAGAGTTAATTAATTCTAATCAATCAAACCCTAGTTAAATATTGTATTCTATTCGCCAGGCGAGCGACTTGGGTCAAGTGGGAGAACTTATCATCACAAAAGACGACACTCTCATCTTGAAGGGCAAAGGGAAGAAGGCTGATATTGATAGGAGAGCCGATCAGATTAGGGATCAGATCGAGAACACCACGTCTGAATACGAAAAGGAGAAGCTGCAAGAACGCCTGGCTAGATTAGCGTCCGGAGTGGCGGTCCTCAGGGTTGGCGGTAGCAGCGAAGTGGAAGTAAACGAGAAGAAGGACCGCGTGCACGACGCGCTCAACGCTACTCGCGCCGCCGTCGAGGAGGGCATTGTACCCGGAGGTGAGGCTTGATCTTGCATTTTCATCGCTATAAAATCCATTCATGTTAACGGTATTCTTCATCCCAAAGGTGGTACCGCTCTCTTGAGATGCTTGCCGGCGCTGCGACAGCTGAAGGCGATCAATTCCGACCAGGAGACCGGAATCAAGATCGTGGCGAATGCGTTGCGCATGCCGTGCTTGCAGATCGCGCAGAACGCCGGTGTCGACGCCAGTCTCGTGGTAGCTAAAGTGAGCGAAGGCAAGCTTGGCTATGACGCGCTCAAAGACGAATACGTCGACATGATCGAGACGGGTATTATCGATCCCACGAAGGTCGTGCGCACGGCACTCACCGATGCTGCGGGCGTAGCGTCACTGCTCACGACGGCGGAGGCGGTTGTTACGGAAATGCCGAAGGAGGAGTCGCAGTCACCGATGGGCGGTATGGGTGGTATGGGCGGTATGGGCGGCATGGGTGGTATGGGCGGCATGGGCATGTAAGAACATAGGCAGGAAGATACACGCTAGAACAGCGTAAAGACTGAGAAGAGAGAACCACGGTTACGCTGTGCGACGTTGTTCTGAGAAAGGGAAAAAAAAAAGACAAAGCGCTGGACAATAGTGTTCTGTTCGAATAGGAACCGATTTCTCGCGAGCGTAGTTTATTGACTTGGAAGCATTGCAAACAGGCGATAACAAGGCACGCACGTGCGACACGTATAGTCGATCGATGATCCAGTCTTTATGATAAGACATCGTTCTCATGTTTGTTTTGTCCTATACGGCATTACGCGTTATGAACTATGTCGTACTACCGATTTATTCTTTTTCATTTAAAAAACCATGCGTATGTAGTGCATACACACCGGTGTTTCGAATAGATGCATTTAATGTAAAAATACATTTCGCCGTGTGATATAAACTTGTTAATATGTTTATACAGATGGTTACAGTATGTGAATTAACCAATTACAGTAACAATTTCTAAATAAATTTCAATTATTTTATCTGTTTCGTTTCTCCCCCCTGCACACAAATCTACACTTGTATTATGCTGAAGTTGTGAACAACCAACGAGATACAAATGATGAAGAGCTAAGAGCAGTCACACACAAATAAGTTTTGATGTATGAATAAAAAAAAATGAATGTGCGTGGAAGGTTAATCATATCTCGACGTATTCGTAACTTTATAAATATTAGATTTATTTTCTGATTTTGAACAAAAATGCGTGTTTCACTTACAATACTTTTTCGTACTTACGAGCTAGCATCATGGCAAGTATGAAGACAATGAAACAAATTTTTGATGAGTAAAAATTTTATTTAGTATAGAATATAAATATTCCCATATTATATATATATATACGTTACTATGCCTTTAGAAATTGTTTACAAATCACTATATTTGTAATATATTAACATTTGTATTACATTGATTTGTAAACAAAATCAATATATTTGTAAATAAATCAAAACGCGAAATTTGAGCATACAAATACGTCGAATTATTATCGGTACAGAGTGCAATAGTAACGGTTATAAACTAAACGGTTATAAATAAAAAGTTATAAACTAAAAAATATATATTATTAATTTACATACTAGATGGCTTATTCACAGACGTGATCATCTTAAATATCTATTGACCTTTATATTTTCGGAATATTACGTTTATTCTAGCCTACTGTTATTTCCTGAAATGATAAACATTCAGAGATATTTAAGCTGATCAAATCATTCAGATAGCAGTTTTCACACATGTAAATATTTTTATATTTATTCTCTATCTTGAATAAGAAAAAGAACGGAAATATGAGACTTACGGGGACGAATATAGTAAGGAGAAAACAGTCGATGTGATGATTTAAAATTTTTATAAAATTCTTATATTAACACATAGAAACCTAAAATATTCTATCTGGCATTTTTAATATAATCTGCTACGTCCATAATATATATATATATATATATATATATATATATATATAGTACCAAATAATATATATATATATAGTACCAAAAGCGTGCCATAAATAATAGAAACGGAAGAAGCGTTTCAACGTCGCTATATTGTTTTTCAAGCAAATGAAAATAACGAAGTCTCAACGTAACAAGATCAGTCTGTCCGATATATGTGCAGTCACGAGATCAGCACCTGAAACATATAAGAATATTTCTCCATCTATGTTCCTGTATCCCTATAGTATCGTCCAATTGTTCGATCTCGATTCAATGAAATGTACAAAATGCAGCTGTGATAGAAAGAGGAATGTAAGAAAGAATGAAAGTGATGGAAAAAAAAGAGAGCAATATTTTCAGTGTAGTGTTGTTAAGAAACATCTCGTTTCATATCTAAAATACAATGAAATCCGCTTTAAAAAATATCACATTAAGCCTATACGTTACATTCGTCATAAAAAGCATACTAATATTAAATATATTAACCTAAGCGCCTATCTTCTCAATTTCATCCGCGTCTTCCGCGTCGAGGTAATGTATCTTTTTGCCAAAATGCTTCTCTATATCTTTACAGAGTTGCATGGCATGAGGCGAGTCGATTAGATTAATGGCAATGCCCGACTTGCCAAATCGTCCAGTTCGTCCGATCCTGTGCAAATATGTTTCACAGTCGGCTTGTCGTTTTTGATCCATTGGCAGGTCAAAATTCACCACTATTGTCACCTGTTCTACATCGATGCCTGCGAATTATCATAAAACTCTGTTATCGTTCAAAACACTTTCACAGCATATCTAAGCATATTGACCAATTCTATATACTTTCTATTCTATTCAATTCTATTCTAATATTGAGTAATTCTATATACTTTACATATTTACCTCTAGCTAAAACGTTTGTAGTGATGAGAACTTTTTCGAGTCCTGCTCTAAATCTATCTAACACGGAAATTCTTTGTTCCACTGTCAAATCACCAGACAGTATCGCTACTGCATGTCCGTCTTTCGTCATTTTTTCCGCTAACCAACTGGCTGTCTTCTTCGTCTGAGGAAGATAACATGTCAATTTTTAATATTCCTTACGATTAATCCCGCAGACAATGTTGAAGTTCTTACATGACAGAAGATGATAGCTTGGCCAATTGTGATTACGCCGTAGATGTTAGTGATCGCCGTGTACTTGTCATCCACATTTTTACATTTGATGTAATATTGTTTGATGTTATCTAAACTCTCTTCTTCCCTCAATAATCGTATTATTAGCGGATTACTGACTATAATCTCTGCGAAGTTCATCACCTCAGGCTCATATGTTGCTGAGAAGAACATCATTTGACACGTCCGTGGTAGCATTCTATAAATAACACGTACAATATATAACCATTCGTGCAAAATGTAATGTAAATGTATTATTCACGGAGTTTCAAACAGAGTTTCTTTGAGAAATTACTTGTGAATGCGAATACATTGATCCTGATGACCCTGTGTAGCAATCATGACGTCAGCCTCGTCTAACACAAATACCGATATTTTATTGAGATCAAAGAATTTGAATTTTTGTCCCCAATCCAACACTTTGCCTGGGGTTCCTATGATAATATGTTCAGTGACTTTTGATCCTCGGCTTACTAAAACAGAAAAATTATGTTTATAAGTTTGTAATAATAAGAAATATATAAATTGTATAAGAAACCGAATGGTAAATTACTTTCTTCTCCTCTCACAGCATATTTTATTTTTATCTCAGGACAATAGCGTGACATCTTTGCTGCTACTTCACCAGTTTGAATTGCTAATTCATAAGTCGGTGATAAACAAAGTACTTGTGGATATTCCTTTGTAGTATCCACCCGACTCAGCATAGCAAGTACAAATGCAGCAGTTTTACCAGTGCCAGACTGAGATTGTGCTATCATATTCTGTGGGCTAAAATAATTTTTAAAAATTTAGATAATATAGTGAACAAAGATATCAAAACTTATCAATTTATACTTACGGATCCGCGAGCAAAGTAGGCAAAGCTGTTTCCTGAATTCTTGAAGGAGCATTAAAACCCATAGCGTAAACTCCTTTCAATAACGCAGGTTTGCTACAGAAATTTATAATATAAATAATTAATATAACATAATGAAAAAAATATATCTCTTTTTCTTTTTTATATCAGTAATATACAACCAACATTATTATTATTATTATTAATTAAAAATTACTAACAGATGGAGCGCATCAAATGACTTGACACTATATAATGGAGAATTTGGATCCTTCCTTTGAATCTCTACATCCTTCGTCGTCTCGACTAATCCTTTTCTTATGATCTTTTGCAGGAGTGATTTTTCCGCCAGCGATATTTGTTCATCCGATCCGTCGTCGCTTTTGGTGTCCCCATCTTTCACAGAATTCGGTTTCTCCAAATTTAAAGTTGTCACCTTTAATAATTGTCACAGTATAAATATAATCGATGAATTGTTCTTTTTTAAGAGATGGATATGCAAGGTAGTGCGAAGGAAAACAGGTTATGTATAGATAAGATCATTATCGTATTAAAGATTGCAATAATGAAAAAAATATCATAGACAAGAGTGAAGCGCAAGTGAAGTATATGCAAATAATTCTTCATAATATCGAAAAAACCTTGAAATTACCGTAATGAAATCCGTATATATTGTCAAAAAAACCTCAACTTTACCTTAGATGCCAATTTGTCTTGCTCGTCGGCATATTGTCCCCAGTCGACCTTAGTTGAAGCCATAGTCGCCGGTGATTCTTTGTTACAGTTTGCAATAATGGAGCCTTGTTCAAAATACAATTGTCGAGTAGCAAGTCGACAAATGAACTTATTCTCGACACAATCAGCACGATTGACGTCCGACTTAGATTCAGGTTCTTCTTCTTCTTCTTCTTCAATATATGGCTCTGTACACACCACAGATGCTCCGACGTCACTCACTTGCTAGATTCGGGTTCAAGTTTGCAGACACGATGCGATGGGCAAGCAGTATGCAGATACACCTTGAATATGATCCATTAAATGGGATTTACAATAGAAATCGTAAAATCCCAAGTTGTAAGGTTACAAGCAAATTGACCAACTACGGTCTGGACCGTCCTTCTTGTAATCGAAGAATAATCGATTATGATTGACCAATTTATTTACTATCTTAATATTATCTTAATAATAAATGGGCCTTATGGTCGGTATTCATAGTCGAGTCTTGTATTTAAACCGTCTCAAGTTCATCTTCAGATACTCCGTAGCCAATAAAGTAATTTGTATAGTATCTGAAGATGAACTTAAGATGATCTTAGATATAAGATTCGACTATGAATACTAGCCCTAATATCTCATCGGTGGTAAGGTTTAAAGAAAGCAATGGCGGTTTATCCAAAAAACTATAGTGCGGCAATAGAACTTGGAGGAAAATGAAAAACCAACAATTTATTGTGAGTATTTATCGTAGACATTTACATTATCCGTTTACTTTTTGGTAGTTTGATCTTTGGAAATATTAAGTTTTTGTAATATTAGAGATGCGAAATTAGCAGCCTAGATTTTAACCTAAAATGTTCGTTATAGGTAACCTTCGTATAAGGATAACCGTATCTACGAGGAAAATGGACTTGGAATCAATCAAAAAATAATCATTAACTATATATCAACCAAGGGCCACATATGTAAGAACAAGTACAAAGTATTTCGATAATTAATATCTTTTAATTAATTTCTTGAGAAAAAATAGAAACGAAGAATAGAATCTGTTAATGGCATTTATCTTTATGTTAATGATGATCGATTTTTAGACGCAAGAATTTTTTTAAATATTCTTTTTCACGTGATTAAGTATGATTTTCAGTTTATAAAAATATTGGTATCACTTTGTAAATAAATCTATAAAATAGATAATCAAATAGGTAAAATAATGAATTTACCAACAGATAAAAAATGCAATTTATATTGTAATATGATGATTAAAATTATCATCAGACTAAATTACATATTATCTGCGTTATATTACGACTGAAAATTTGTGTTGAGCCTTTCTTTTTTATGTATAAACTCATACATGTATGTACATATAAGTACATTTTCTCATTTGAATTTGCTTAAGTTAATTTGAATAACTTTTTTAACATATACTTGCTTGCTATAGTAATGGATACATTATACTTACACTTTAAAATTTAAACGCTCTTCTTGGAAATATAGCTATAAAAATCTCTGTATAATCAACTTCGTTATCTAAACTCACATATTATTGTTGCTGGCTACTTTATTTCGTATGGGCATCATACATTGTTTTATACGAAATATACAATTTCTTGTAATATTATGTACAAAGGAATTCGCCAAGAACATTCTAGTCTGCATCAATTTGCGAAGTTTCCAAAAAACAATGATCCACTTCCCTTTATTTCCTTCTCTGTGAATTCTTCTCTAGAATTTACAAATCTTTGCATCTCTTTTCTGCAAATTTCTGTGTCGGGAACAAGTCCAGTGAATGTTTATGTATGTATAAAATATAGATGCGTGTTCTGTCTCTATCAGACAGCTCCGATGAGTCGCAACTGTTGAAACGAGAGGAAAAGAAGAAGATAGGTGTTGTCTAAGACGATCATTCCCTCGCGAAGCCGTGCGCAAACGTCGAATTAATGTCTAAAAGAGAGGGTACAATAATCCCGAGGCTATTATTATCTTGAGAATTTTCCCATTTAGGATTTCTTCGCGGTCGCCGTTACCACCTTATTGCTGGTCGTTTGCGGCACGAAACGCACGTTTATCAGCGATAGATCGAGCATTTTATGCTGGTATTTCTTGTGAAACACCATGGCGGCGGATTGCGTCTTAAACACAACCGTGGCGTTACCCTCGCCCATACGTATGCTCTATAACACGAATAGATAACACACAGTTATTACAGGTAGTTGAGAAAACATTATTTATTTAAAATAGGCATAAATTTCTACTAAAAATAAAAAAGAGGTGATGTAATACGAAAAGAATACAATAAAAAATTTCGTGCGTATGCATGTTATGTTTGTGCGATGACGTGAACACTTTTTAATTATTGCATCTCTGAGGAGAACCAATTAAGATATAATATATAAGATAATAAAGCCACCAAAGGTATCAAATTAGCAGTCTTGACGAATCTTCTTCAAGTATCCAATTGCTTTTGTCTGTTTTGCTTCGTGAATCTTTTATAACCAGCCGATTACGTCTTCCATTGATAGAAACGACTATGCTGGCACGATTATATATAAACTAAAAGTATGTAACTCATTTGTATAGTTCTCTTTGGTATCAAATGTATTCTTGAATATCTTAATGAAATATTATGTAACATTATTATCAATGATATAAAAATATTTGACTTTCTGTATATTCTGTTCCAGATATTCTTATCTACCGGAACATAACAATTCTTTACAACTTACAACTTAAGCACAATTAAGTACCAATCATTTCAGATTACATGAATCCTCCTAAAACACACACATACACACAGATCACAGACTATAAAATTAATGATATTAATATCTAATAACAAGCTGCAATAATATTCAGCAACATAAAAAACGTAAATGAACGTAAAATAAAAAAAAATCCATCTTGTATCATATCCTAAGGAGTGTCGGTGCTATGCTTATTTCTAATTGTGATACATTTACTTGGAATGTCGTAAGTCTCGCAATTACTGAACAATAATACGATATGTAATATCAGAACACGAAACGGAATAATCAATGAAACGCATCAAGATGCACCCTGACTTCTTGCAGTTATAATTTGTGATCGGCAGGAAAAATATATACATATATATTTCTTTCTCTTTCTCTTTCGACATCTTATACATGTATTTGCTTGTGTTCAAAGAAAAATAGCATTTGTCAAAATAAATTAAATAACATCTCGAGTGCATGCAACAAAAGAAATCATCTCACTTCGGAGTGCGTGTGTAGGAATTGTGTGGCGTTTAGGAGGTAGGATGGTTAATAGAGGATGACAAATGGGTGAAGCGTTTTCAAGTAAATATAGTCACCTCAATGGTTCCGATGCCTTGGCACATACGCCTAATTTGTGCCTCGGACGTGCTCATAGCCAGATTATCTAGCCTGACTACGTTGCTCCTGTTTTCGGGCAACTTTTTCGGCTGTGCCGCGTTGCTTGTTTGTAGCACAATTCGCTGAGAGTTGGGCGCGTTCACGTTTCTCTGAAGATGACCGCCACTCGTTCCATCTCGCTCGAGTACGTTGACAACGGTTTTCTGCAAGCCGCTCAGTGCTTTGTGCGCTCCCATTCTTGGACCCAGGTTCGTCTGACCGGCGGTTTTTTGTCCAGCAGCTAACGTCGATTTTTGTAACGCGTTTCCTGGGTTCTGTACGATCTTCTGTACTTGCACGACTTGCGTATTGGACGCCTTCTGCTGCAATCCTTGACTGCGCTGTAAATTGGAGACGGTCTTCTGTATGGTGGTGGCGACCTTCTTCGAATTGAGCAGAGACTTGTGTATCACCACTCTTCGTGTACCGGACTGTTGCACCATTTGTCTCGTTTGTACAACATCGTCGGTCTTGTCGACCGCGCGCTCGAAGTTATCGTCTTTCGCACCGGTGATGTCGTTTCGCGTCATCGAATTGTTGGCCTGGACAGTGGTCGGTATCGCTCTAACGATTCGCGTGAGTGGTCTGTCTGTTGCCTACAACAAAAATATCAGACGAGCGTCATTTTAAGCGACTCATTATTGTGCATCGGACGATTTGGCCTTCGTTGTTTTATCATGATATCAGTGACAATGTAATAAAGTGAATTCTGAGATGATACATATTTCCTTTTATCCAAATTTATCTTAACAAGCTTCGACGAGTTTTAAATTCTTTTGATACTTGTTAAAATGTGTTACAGTCTGGAGGAAATGAAAAGAAACAAAATTTATTGAAAAAGTATATTTTATTGAAACATAAGTGGAAAATGTACAGCGAATTTTAATTGCACGTGTATAAATGAATTGGTATTTTATTTAAAAAAGTATATAAAGCTATCATCAGAGCAATAAACGTCTAAAAATGGCATTTTTTCTCTTACTAATCGAAACAATAACTACAGTAGTATTGTTGCACCACCATTATCAGAATAAAAGTAAGAGAAAGAGAGAGAGAGAGAGAGAGAGAGAGAGAGAGAGAAAGTATTTAGTTCAACGGCAGGTACTCACTCCTGTACCTACTACTCTTAACATGCACACAGATGTATGCACACAAATTTACTGTGTAACATTTTGTGCAACTACGAAAAGCATTATAAAATATATTAAAAAATACTATACACATATCACGTGTACTTTTGTTACTCGATTTATAGATTGGATTTGAACTATATTTATTGAATCCAGAAATTTGTTATTATTTGTAAATATTTTTCCACAAATATTGAAATGTGAATTGTACGACAATATAATAGGTCTCGCCATAATAACACGATTATCAGAATCATAGTCGTTCAGTATCGCGCAGTCTTCACAATCAATGGAGAAATTGAGCGGAATCGCGAAATAGTGGTACATTTAATATTATACCTCTGTGCTCTGTGAATTGACAGGACGACCGCGTCCTTTACCGACACCAGGTCGAACTTTAACGGTGACGTTGTCCTTTACAACTCCCATCAGCGCCGACACGGCCTTTGTGTCTTGCTGTACGATTTCGTTCGCTGAAAATTTTCGGAAATATCGTTCGACAAAAGCGCACAAGAAGGCTGTCAAGATATATAACTCCTGATTACTACATACCCGCGACGGTCGGGTCCATCTTCCCGTCCTCGTTTTGCTGCTTCTCCATCGCTGCCATCTTGCGCCTGTTCTCCTTCTCGCGCAACAGCTTTTCCCGAAGACGCTTCTGTTCCTCCATTTTCTTGCAATATTCTTGCATCTCCGGATCGATGTCTTCCTCCTGAAAGATCACAGTTTCGCAATATATATTTAGATTTCATCGCCTCGATTGGTATTATCTGCTGAAAGTCAATCAGGAGACCGGCTCACCTTCCTCTCGGTGACCGTTCTCTCTACTATATCCACTCTCCGTATCTCGTGAAAGTTTCTGCTGTTTGTCGATTTACTGCGCTTCGGACTTATCTCCCGCGGCGGTCTGTCTGTCGATTCGGGAATTCTCTTTTGCGGTGGCCTGTTCGGTTCGCGGTGTACAGTTATGTTCATCGGTCTAAAAGACTTCTGACTGTGATTCTGATCGTACGAGTCGCCGCGATATGTATTCGTCGGTGATCTGCTGCGCCGCATATGATCATTCCTTGCTCGTAGCGGCAAGTCTCTCTCCCGATAGTTTGGATGAGATCCTCTGTGATCCTAGCGTCACGGAAAAATCGAATCAGTATCCGGGACAAAGTAAGCGTAATGAACATTATTGGGATCGTGGGGTCTTGTAACGATATTTACCTCTTGATAGTTGTTCTTTTGATCACGTTGGCTGTCCCCTCTGTATTTATTATTATCGCTGTAACTGTTATCCCGAGAGTAATTGTTCGAAACATATTGCTTACTCGTGTTCATATTTTGAGGCTTTTGCGGTCTGTTCTCCTGCCAAACGTCGGAGAAATATGCATATGGATCCTACAATAAAATTCAACGATATACAACTCCGCACATCGCACCGCATTGCGCGCGATATATCACACGTTTACGTACGTCGCTCTTGCTTTGTAGATAATTGTTTTTGTATTGCGATGTAGCTTGTTGAGATTGATTGTAGCTTTGATTCTGATACGTCGAGGCAGGTTGCTGCGGAAACTGTCTGCTGTGAGAGACTTGCGGTTGTTGCACTTGCTGATTAGTATCCCAAACAAGTCGAGCTGCGATAATTGCAGAAAGCAAATGAGTATAAATCTAGTTAAATGTATTTTTTTTTTTTTTAGTTGATTCACGTGTAACTTTTCCATTTCTCTCTCTCTCTCTCTCTCTCTCTCTCTCTCTCTCTCTCTCTCTCTCTCTCTCTCAATTTTTCTAGAAAAATATTTTCTAACGGAACCTAATCTGTGTGATACATATCCTTTATCATCAATAACGATTCATGTTTCTCATCCTCGTCATAAGTTACTTACGAATCGACCCAATACGAAATATATATCCACTCACAAAGAGACTCACCATTGTTCGTCGGTTGAACAGCTCCTCTAAAGTGAGGATTGATTAGAATCTTGTGGCCTGGAGGTAAAGACACACTGTGTACATTAGACGTCGACTGTTGTGGTACAGGCGGTTGCATCGAATTATTAAATTGGCTATTGGGTACTTGATCGGGATAACCGGCCCTCCCGTTGTACGCGTTCCGACCCTGAAACTGCTGCGTCTCCTGGAACGGTAGTCTGTTCTCGTAGGGCGGCGGCGGCTGCTGACTAGGCATTTGCGGTAGGTTTTGTTGTTGCATAGACGGCAGATTCTGTTGTTGCATAGACGGCAGATTCTGTTGTTGCATAGACGGCAGGTTCTGTTGTTGCATAGACGGCAGGCTCTGTTGTTGCATAGACGGCAAGTTCTGCTGCTGCATAGATGGTAGGTTCTGTTGTTGCATAGATGGCAGGCCATGAGAGGATGACGGTGGCGGGGGCGGCGGCGGCGGCGGAGGTTGTGGAGGAGGAGCTTGCTGTCGCGGGAATCCTTGTTGCATAGGCAGCGGTATATTCACCGACGGCAACAGCGGCAACGGATTTCCGCCGGTCAATAGCACATTCGGATTACCGAGGAGCGAGTTTCCCGGATTGCCCTGCAACAGCGGCGGGCCCTGATTGCCCTGATGCATCGGTCGCATCTGATTCTCTTGCATGAGACCGCCCGGATTCTGAAACGGTTGCATCGGATGAAACGGCGGCTGATTCGGCGGACAATTGTTGTAGCCCGGTCCCGGCATTGTTCCACCGCCCACCAAAGGACCGCTGGCCCTGGGGGGCCCGTACTCGAGACGCGGTCCCATATTCACACGCGATCTTATCGGGCCTTGAAACTGTCCGGGATTGAACTGCGGTCTGTTATCCACGAACTGCGTTGGAGTCTGCTGCATCGGGCCGTTCGGGCCAAATTGTTGGAAAGGCTTCTGCGGGCTAGCCTGTTGGTACATTAACGGCTGATTCGGCAGGCTGTTTGGCGTACTAAGAAGACACAATGGTCTGGTCTCCAATAGCGGCGGCCTGCACGCAGGCGGCTGGTTGTCAAAACCACCTGGCCGCGTCCCGTTACCAAACCTGCAAAAGTGTTCCGCAGTGAGACATTGCGATCGATTGAGTACAAAAGTGGATAATGGCCATAATGAAAAGCAAAAGTTTTATAGAGCAGTGTTATAACGATTGGTAATTTTCTTAAAGCTCACGGCTGAGCCTCAAAAAGAGACGTGAATTTTTGATCGCATCAGCTGAGACTGCGGTTTGCTTCTTGTTCACCCATCTTACATTCCAGCGATTGATATTGCTCTCCTTTATAAACTCGTAATCAATTTTGTCAATGACCAAAGACCGTTGTTATTGTCGAGATTGTGTGTTACCTTGGGTTGAAGTTTCCAGTATTTGGCATGTTAAATCTTCCTCCTCTGCCTCTTGCGATGCGTCCTCCTCCTCCTCTTCCTCGTCCCCTGAACGGTGTTCTGGCTGACGGTTCCGACGTGACGACGTTCTCCAACGTGTCCGGGATATCATTGTTCATCTTCGGCGAGATCATCGTACGCTCGTTTTGAAATCTGTTCCGCCTCTCCTTTGCCTCCTCGCAGTCGTCTTCCTCCAATCCTTGCCCGTTACCAACGTAGACCTGCATGTTTTTCTGCAGCTTCTCACGCAGATCACCGGTATTGTTCGGTATGCTGACGCTAATGCAGTCCGGATTGCAGTCGGACTGACATGCCTGCTCGTTCGCGTACTCGGCGTTCTCGTCTTGCTCGTAATACGTGGTCTGTACCTTCGAGTGCTCTTCATCCTTATAGAAATCGTTATCGCTAGGTTTATCAGTATTGCCTCTACTAAACTCTATATTTTCATCTTCGCCGTCTAAGTCGTCGAGCGCATCCGTGACTCCTAAGTCCAGTACATCATCTGTTTCCTCTTCTCCCTTATAGCTATTCTGCTGCTCGGGGAATTAAATCGTCAGATATTTGTAATGTAAGCGATATTTATCCAGTGTAGTAATCTACATCATATTTCATAATCTACGTATCGTTAACTAATGTATATGTACTAAAATATATGTGTGCAATGTGTCTGTGTGTGTGTGTGTGTGTGTGTGTATGTGTGTGTGTGTGTGTGGTGTGTGTGTGTGTGTATGGTAAGCAAAATATCTTCCATTTTGTCCACTCGTGAGAACTCGAATCGTTATCATCGGCACGTATATATCGCATAGAAATCGCATGAGTCCAAATTCGCGGTGTGCGTAGGTGCGCGGGCGCGGGCGCGTGCGTATGTGTGGTCCTGATCGCTACGTGGGACATGTAACTTTCGGTCTTATTTGATTGTTCTCTCTTTTCTTTTCTCTGTTTTCTTTCACCTGTTAATTCTTGGCGTACTGAGAAAACATGCTCTTATCTCTAACGGTAATAATGACGAAACATAAGCCTTATAAACAAACAATGGAGAACAATGAATAATGGAGATTGCGATGAGGCCGAGTACACAATAGCGGAAAAATGCGAACGTGTGATGAACGACATGATGATTTTTCGCCGATGCGAAACGCAAACACAAGTGTGCTAAAATACCGATGTAGCATTTTCGAAAGGCTTCCATTCGATAAAATGCTAGTATTTCACGAATGACAACTTGCACGTGTCGAATTGTCAGCGCAGTACGATACAATTCAATTCAGTCTGGTGGTTTGCGCGATTATGCAACAAAATCTAGCACGTTCAGGATAAGGTATAATTACCTGTGCCATTTCGGTAGGCAAAACGTATAACGTGTTTCTACCAAAATCCATTGTAACACACCATGTAAATTTTTATTAAATATGAGTCACTTTTATTTTTCGATAATAACACGCAAGTTGTTAAGGTGTACTTTGTAATATCAGAATTTAACGTTGCTGATGGTAACACAAAGAAATTCAAGTTCGTGAACAAGTTGCAAATGAATTTATCATGATGGAAATTATCGTATTGCGTCAGTATAATTGAATTATTTCTTACTGCAGCTGTTCGTTAGATGAATTGGCTTAATACTAGAGATCGCGATGTACAATTTCGCATTAAAATCCATAATCGTTGTTGAAAATCGAGATGATAACGTCCACTGTCGGAATGGTTTAATGTAAGAACATTACACATTATATATTATAAAATACACAAATGTTCTCCTACATAATATATAAATCTTCTGCTATACATAAAAATTTCGAGTTGCGTATAAACATATCTTTTTTTTTATTTTTAGAACGCGATGTATAAAAGAACGATAGCCTGTATTTTTTATTTGCAATATAAGAACAATTAAAGATTCCCCTACGAAAATAATCTTCCGTTACGTATTAAGTATTAACATCGTATAAACAGAAAGATATTGAGCGAAAAGTTTCACATTTGTAATAATTTATGTATGCCTTGTATCAACAGCCTCACATAAAACCATTCATTCGTGATAGCGAATAATTTTCTAATGAACATGACAAGATACAATCATAAAAATTTACGCTAGCAATTAGCAATTTACCAAATTGGGTATAGCACCAATCATAATTTGAAATGTGGGATACGAACTTATATATACAAAAGGGAAACATAGTTGGGTAGATAAACAGGTCCTTTCAGTCTACTCGTTATTAATGCCGCTTAAGATGTTGATGAGTCTTAATTTATAAAAATTACAGTCGCATTTACGCAGCAGATTAAAACAAATATATGTAGCATGTATGTTATTATATAGTTAAACAGTACAATTTCTCAAAAAAATTAATGATCATAAACATTGTAAAACAACCATAAATATTGCAAGTTGTTGAATATATAAAAAAGATGATATGTTCTTATATGATTGAATGAATATAAGAAATAAGGAAACATAATAATAATTATAATTTTGCAGTTATTTCTAGCTTGTACATACCAATGCTGTTGTCATAATTTTATTGTAAAATCAAAATTTTTGATAATTTATTAACAGCTACATATGTTTTTTTAACCTGTGTAATTTCATAATCGTTCACTAAAGTAAACAAATCACATGCTTATGCCTACAAGTTTTTTCTATATTGCAGCATCAGCTTTCGCAAACATTTGCATTTGAACAAAAATGTTCATATATTCGAATCATCAGTTTATGAAAGTTCAGTTTGAATTTTCTTGTGAGGTGTACTTTTGCATTTAAAATATATATGCATAAATATTTATGGCACATCTACAATAAATATTATATATTATATTATACAATGTGTTAACATATTGTGTTAACACTTTATTGAACAGTTACATGATATGATTGAAGTTCAAGTAGAATACATGGATTACGTATTGTATTTTTCGACATAGCCAGTATTTTATCTATCATCTGCCTCATACTTTTGATTCTTTTGATTCATGCACGAGACTTTATTGTACAATAATGTCATATATATCTTAGTACTTGCTGTTTGACAATAAAAAAAAATTTAGAGAATACAAAGAAAGTAAAATATTATTCTTCCCTATTTATTGGAATATTTTTTGTCTTGATGTAATATCATAAATTACTTATGAAAAATAAAAATATTTTTTGCTTTACTATTAGATTCATTATTAAATAGCATCAATTGTATGTTAATTTATTAATTTACTTTAATTAATTATTTATTAATTTATTAATACAATTAATTGTATTAAATAGCATCAATTTTATATAAATCATCTGTTGTAAAAATTAGGTCAACAAATGCACAATGGATGAGAACCAAGATTACAAAATGGAATAATTTTGAGATCGAAGGTCAATTGGTTCTATTGAGCGCGACTGAATTTGGCCAAATAGCGAATAGGTGTAGGGTTTCATCCAACTGAAAAATAATGGGCAAACAATATGCTCACCCTCTCTACTTCATAGTCATCAGCTAACAAGGCTTCTTCTTCATCATTGCCCAAATCGTATTCCTCGTCCCCCTCAAGATCTTCGTCCAGTAAAGTATCATCACTGAAAAGGTAGATACGAAAATTTCGACATGCTATCGACAAAACCTGCCCGCTTTCTTGTTACAGTTGCGGAGACAGAGACGCTCTCGTCCGTAACAACCTACGTCATTGTCAAGTGCAGCCTTCACGTTTCTAACCTGCGCATATTTTCAGCGAGAACCCGAAACAAGCGCTACACTATGTTAATTTCGATAAGAAGTTGCACGACTGAAAATTTTAGATCGTAATTTTTCATAACAACACAAAATAGAAGTACTTACTGCTCTGACATCATACGCTGTCGTACTCGGGGCCAGGAAAGAATCTACGATGGCTCCTGTGCAATTGCAATGGAGTCTTTATCGAAAACGCGCACACTCGACATCGATTAATCGACATTGATATCAAATGATCAGTCGAACATGTCTTCGATATCAAATGTTATTGGTCTGTTCTTTGTAGCCGCACTGCTGAACTGGTGCAATAAGCTAGAGTGAGAAAACCTATATTTGTTTCATTTTAACTTATTGCACCAGTTCAACAGTGCAGCTACAAAGAACAGACCATTGGCAACTATATTTTTTCTCACTTTAACTTATTGCACTAGTTCAGTAGTGCAGCTAAAAAGAACAGACCACATATAAAGTCAGCGGCACACGGTGCTTGTTTCGTGCTGGATTGCTTGCTGGATGAAAATACTGCGTTCTGATTGGTACATTTCCGAAGATGAATGGAAATGCACCAATCAGAACGCAGTATTTTCATCCAGCAAGCAATCCAGCACGAAAACAAGCACCGTGTGCCGCTGGCTTTAATTGTCGAAAAAGAAATTGATAAATTGTTGAGAAAGAAATTACGTATTATTTTTCTTTCTCGTAAAAATATTTTTTGCAAATCCGAATATAGGACGCAAATATGAAGTTAGCCTAAGTACGTAGTGACTAAATTAAAAGAAAATTGAAGAAAATTCTACGAAATTAACGAACCTAATTGTTTAATCATCACCTAAAGCATTCGTTTCTTGACCAGGGATAAAACGCGTACTTACGTACTCCGTAATTGCACGTCAATTCACTGCTGAACTAGTGAAACTCTTGTTCGGTTTGAATCCTCCATTAACCACGCGTCAACGCGTGTCCTGTCGAGTATATATTATCGATACATTCGAATAGTGGCGCAATTATTATTTTATGCGATAATTGATTGAATGTTAAATATGAACAAAATTATCAATGAACGTATTTGCGTATTTTGAATCAATGGAGATGTGCGCATAATTAACGTTACGTAAATTCCGCATTTTTGTTTATAACCTATTCTTGTTTTATAACCTATTCGTGTGTTTATAATCCATATAATCAAGTGAGATTACGTATCGTTTGATATATAATGAACAAGTGTATATATTTGTTATTTTATAAGACTTCGTTAAAACCATATCAACCGAGATGTTTGAATTTTTTACGCGCGTGTAGTCAGATAGTGGACACGTTGCGAAGGTATTCTGACAAACCGGCTATTATTTTGGGAATCGAAACGAGCTGTGATGACACAGGATGTGGAATTGTAGACATCACGGGAAAAATATTAGGCGAGGCGATACATTCGCAGCATGCCATTCACCGAATGTAATTATCTTATCTTTCAACCTACTTTGAAAAAAAACCAATATATTAATTTAATTATATAGCAAATTATATATATATATATAAATAAAATGTTAATAATTTTTTGCAAGTAAAGATTCTTTGATTGATTGGATAAATACAAATTGCTCATTAAACAAATTTACAGAACATTATTTATCTTAAAAGTGAATGGTTTTTATAATCTATAAATTATTCGCCTTTTGATTTATATTTGATTCTATTTTCTTTTTTAGACATGGCGGGATAATACCTACACTTGCCAGTCAATTTCATAGAGAAAATATTACCACAGTCTGCGAGAATGCATTAAAATCAGCTAATCTAAGATTAAGGGATATAGATGCTATTGCAACTACAACCAAGCCAGGTCTTCCTAATTCACTTAATATTGGAAACACCTTTGGCAAATATCTCTCTAGGATTGGTAACAAGCCATATATACCAATACATCACATGGAAGCTCATGCATTAACTGTGAGGATGATACAGAAGGTATATTGAAGTTAATATCTTATATATATATGCATTATATATATATATATATTTAATGCATTATATAATTAATATATAAATTATTTATATATATGTTGTAGGTTGACTTCCCTTATCTCGTTTTGTTATTATCAGGTGGACATAGTTTACTGGCAATTGTTGATAGTGTTGATAAATTTTATACACTGGGTACTACAACTGACAATGCAGTTGGTGAAATTCTTGATAAGGTACATTAATAAATCTTTTTATTAATATATAATTTCTGTTATATATAATAAAAAAAAATCTTTTGATTAATTTAAAATTAATTTTGTCTTTAAAATTTTGTAAAAAATCTGACATAAAAGGTAATTGTTTACTTATAATCATGATTACAGATTGCACGCAGACTTAAACTTGTTAATATACCAGAGTTCTTGCATATGAGTGGTGGTCAGGCGATAGAGAGTGCAGCTTGTAGAGCAACAGATCCAAAGAAATTTGAATTTCCATCTATTATAACAAGAAAGAGAGATTGTCAATTTAGTTTTGCAGGTGTATGGACTAAGAGTATCAAATACATCGCTAGCCAAGAGAAAGAGTTTGAGATTGACACAAATAAATTAATCCCTGATGCATATAATCTTTGCGCCTCGCTACAATGGGCTATTGCAAAGCACATATGTCTTAGGCTGCAAAGGGCAATGGAATTTATTGATAAGATGAATTTGATTCCACATGAAAAGCGAACTTTGGTATGTCAAAATTTAATCTCATTAATTTCCAATTCAGCAATTTTACATACTTGTTTTTCCAAATGTAGGTAATATCCGGCGGCGTGGCGTGCAATGATTTCTTCGCTAAAGCTTTCGAAATTGTTTGCTCAGAGAAAGGCTTCCAACTCGTCCGAACTCCGCATCGCTTATGCAATGATAACGGCGTGATGATAGCGTGGAATGGTGCAGAGCGGTGGATAGCGAATGTGGGTGTTATTCGAGACAGAAATAAAATCGAGGCGGTGACCATCGAAAATAAGGTACCGCTAGGGGAGAATTGGATAGAAAAAGTGCGAGCTGCGAACATAAAGTGTAAGGTGGTGAAATTAAAAGCACTGATGACATGCTAGTTTTCCTCTGGTATTAGTTTCTTATTTGAACCTGCACATACTTCTTGTTTATCAAGTATGTTCATTACTTATTACATTATCAAAGGATTGGAAAATGGAGATAAGTACTGACACAACAAATTTACCTAGAAATAAATGGAACTTGTTAGGTTTTAAATGTTTTTATTGTATATATTTATATGACAGCCGGTGTGTGTTGTTTATTTTGCCGTTTTATTCTCTTCATCAAGTCAAAGTCTGGATATTGTTGTTCAGCTATTTCTTTTTGTTGTTCGTACTTGTCCAAAATCATTCTTATCTGTTCTTTGATCATCTGTATCTCAATTTTCTTTCGTAAGAGTAGAGACACAGGCAGAATGTTTTCAAATTGTACTACTTGTTCAGGCTGTATTTCTTCTGGGCATGTAGACACATAGTCGATTAAATTCTCTAGCATTGATTTAATTTCTTTAAAGATATTATCAGCATTTTTAGTATCCATCTTATTGACTAAAAGCAGAGCCGGCAATTTCAGTAAGTCTGGTTTGTACAGTTCAATTTCCTTATTTAATAAGACCACAGTTTCCAGACAGGATCTGCTCATGTGCCTGGGTGATAATTGAAAACCTTGTATGTCTACAATGAATAGAAGCAATTTTGTTCTTTCGATATGCTTCAAGAATTTGTGGCCCATCCCGATATCCATGTGTGCACCCTCAATTAGACCTGGTAAGTCAGCAACACTGATTTGTCTATAATCTTCATACTTCATGAGTCCCAATCTTGGTCTTATAGTAGTAACTGTAATATAGAAAGATTTTTATTAAATATCTATATTAAAGAATGCAGCATTTTTTCTGATTATATAACAATGTTAAATAAATTAATAATCTTACAGGGATAACTAGCAATTTTAGGCTTGGCTTTTGAAACTGCTGCCAAGAATGTACTTTTGCCAGCATTGGGAAAACCAACCAGTCCAACATCAGCAATCAGTTTCATATCTAACTTTATCACCTGACTTTCTCCTTTCACACCGCAGAAACCTGTCTCTTCGCATCCACCCATGCCACCTCTGACTACTAATAGCTTTGTACCTTCTTGATTTAATTCTCCTGCAATTTTTAAGAAAAAAATAACTAGAAAATACATCAACCCGTACGTATATATCAAATAATTATATTTAGTAGGAAAAGAGATCAATTAGTAATGAAAAGTAATAGATCTAATTTATTTAGTCAAGATCTAAGAATGAGTTAAATCCTCAAATCATTAATCACTTGATATATGTTTTGATCTGCTAAACACAAGCAATGACTATAATGCTTAGGAAAAGTATACTTACCTAACAATACTCCATTCTCGCTGTATACGGTAATACCACATGGAACTTCAATATTTTTACTTGTACCAGGTGTACCTATAATTCCTCTGGCTTTACTATCATTTCCGTGCTCAGCTTTGATCCGTTTGGTCTTCGCTTTCTTGACGACATTCTCCAGTGTTATTCCATCTTTTGCGATCAGGTATATATTACCTCCTGCACCTCCGATTCCACCGAAACGAGGTAGACCGGATCCTCCTGTTCCTGCACGAACATGAAGACGCAGTGTATCGATGAATCTACTTCGTAAGTACTTCCTGGGAAGCTACAATCGAATGCAGATTTCTTGTGCTTAAAAATTGTATTTAAAAAATACCGTGAGAAAACATAATCTATGAAAGTTTGCTTACTTTTTTAGCAACTGTGGCATAACCTAAGATCCACGTCAAAAATACCATTTTATAGTGTTGTATAATGTTGTTACAATATAAAAATTACTTGAAATTACTAATATTTCTTAACTTTATGCCCGTATTGTTCGATTTACTTGTATCAATCTATATAAATCGTCATCTTATGACAGGTCAAACATCATCAGATTCGTGAAATATGCTGACGAATAAGGCTAGATTTACAATAGATGTAGGAAGTTTTAAGCCGTAAGAAATTGACCAATCATAGTCAAAGGTGAGAAGAATAATCAGTTATGATTCGTTAATATTTAACGGCTTAAAACTTTCTATTGTAAATCCAGCCTTACTCTTCTTCTTTTTCCATTGGTTGAATTCTAGCTGAATTGCTCCCAGACATTCAATATCGATTGATACTCGAATCGAGATTTATCGATAGGTTCGCGAGTTCACCTGTAGATGGCACCTATGATCTCCTTGTCCGTTATTTGTTCATCGCGCGCAAACATGGAGGAACGTAAGAAGAATGAGTTGCGTTACGATGATTACGATTAGGTAAATATCATTATTATTGCCAATTATCCATATTTTAATATATCAGAACAGTATGCAAAAAGATGTTTCCAAAATTTACCAAATCCACGCGTTATTCGCAGACCTTTGCTGCAATATTTGTACTCATAAAGCGAACTGCTTCCAGCTGCTAATTGCGGTTAAATCGCGAGACTTACGCTGAGAGATACTATATAATGTGACGGCAAAATAGAACTTCGTGTAATATATCACTTGTTAGTAGTAGATGTCAGCAACTTATATAGTTTCGTAAGCTGTTTGTTTATTTCAATCTATATGTACATAGTAACACTTACCCTCTCGTTATATAGGATAGGGTGCGTCAGTTTTTACGAGTTTAGTTTGGACGACATTATATTGTGTCGACATTTGGTGACCTTTCTTTGACTACTGTGATATCTGATTCTTTGACTACTGTGAAAATGTTTTACAGATCAAATGTTGAAACATCGCTATTAATAATAAAATCTTATTCGCTTATGTTTATATGCTGATTTTATTTTTTCAAAATATAAAGTCGAACTTTTCTTATTATTCTTATATTTAATGATTTAATTTCCAATATTAGATGCGAATAAATTTAAGAGTTTTCCCTCAGAATAAGTAAAGTTCCAAGATTGTCAGAACAATCTGTCAGTAAAATTTAGGTCATGAGTTCTAATATACTAGCTAAAATCTGCATATGCGCAAATCAGTTTGAAATTAAGTGCCTGATTAGGAGCACTGACCAACAGAGCGCTTATACAGTCTGATACGTAGCTTTCTAAGACTCTCCACGTTAGTTAGATAACCTTTTATTTAGACATATGCCGCGCGAGAGCATCGAAACGACGCTGAAGCGAACCACGTGATGCTGAAATAGACACGTAGGAAATGCGCTCACATGTCGCGGCGTAAATATTTCATTGACGCAATTATGACATCAAATCGAATCACGTTATTTTATATTTACGTATATCAGAATAAAGAGCGTCACGTGACCTAAAGACATACATTACAATATTGTGGAGAAAGAAAAAAGAAGTAATATTATTGATTCCGCAGAACCACGCATCCGCATTCAAGAAACTTTTCTGATCAGCTCGTCAGCTTTGTCAAGAACGAGGCGCCGTACCGAGGACAATCGCGGCTTCCAGGCGGTTTTCCAGGAGTAGTCGGTCGCGAACGCGCCATGGCGTTGCGGCCGCGATGCGTGTCCTGGGGTCAAGTGAAATCAATTGCAGAGCGGAGTTTCGTCGTGATCAATTGGCGTACGACAAAACGGTGGGATAAAGCGGAATGGAAGCCTTCTCTCATCTCGACGGAACTCGGAGGCTCGTCTAAACGAAGGCGAGTACGAAGTGTTAAAATTAAATCTAGCCAGAGGCCGTGTCGACGAGTACGTTTTGCCGACGACGACGACGACGACGACGCCGACGACGACGACGACGACGACGACGACGACGACGACGACGACGACGACGGCAGCGGAGGCGGCAGCGACGTCGCGTCCTCTGGCTTAGTCTCAAGAACACACTTCGGTTGCACGGATGCTCTCCGGTCGCCGATCGATTTAGCATCTCCCGTCGCGATCCTTTCCCTCGATCTACCAATCGCTTTCTCTTTCTCTTTTTCCCGCCTTGTCTATCCCTGTCTCGCGGGGTTGCCGGGACACCTTTTCTCCGTCGCGACATACAGCGTCGCGGAAGTCCCACCGATCGCTGGGAGTCTCTCGCGTAAATCTTGGACTCGCGCGAAAGCGCCTGACTTACCTTCGCCCGAGGTCTTCGTCGAGGTAATGAGTCTTTGGCATGTTAACAACCGCGTTTTTGCGATCGTTTTACAATGAGGCTGCGCCTCGTTGTTTTGTTTTGCCATCATGCTCGTCGAGTTCCACGATGCTGAGGATCACAGAGCCTCATTTTGCTCGTTTTGCTTACTTACATTGTCACGCATTGTCTCCTGCCGCGATCATCAACTGATATTATGCGGATTTTCAATCATAGGGAGTACGGATATTTCTCGCGTTTTAAGGAACAAGGATTAAGTAGTGTGGTAAACATCAGTATCGCGTTCATTGTTCGCCGTTCTCTTGAGAGAGAGAGAGAGAGAAAGAGAGATATTAGTTAATACGTAATCACCGCGTTCATTACTGCCAATTTTCCGACGCTTCTTCGCTCTCGCGACTCGTAAGATCTTCAGCGTGTCGTATCAATTATATCGCGACCCCGTTTGCGCACGGTGAGTTTGTCCAGCTGGCATACGGAAGCGTATGCTTTCATATGCTTTGTTTCAGATTCCGCGCCCACGTAAACGACGTACGCCGGTGACCCGACGATAATTCGCAAAGTCGAATGGTGCTCTCCTTGCCTGAGCTTTTTCATCGACTGGCTCCTCGTTCCTGAATGGTCGTAGGGCGATTAGTGCACGCGGGCGCGAGGAGTATGTCATCGGGTTACTAGCCTTGATCATCGGCCAAATATTTGACGGGGAAAGCGTACCGCGGTCATGCTATTCGTGCTAATTTTACGTGCGTCTCATAATACGGCGTAGTAGAAAAGTATGAAAATTGACAGTAATGGCGGCAACACTCGTGACAATGTGATCACCGGCTTACGTGGTCTCCCCCCCCCCTGTACATGTATAAAAAACACGTGACTTAATATATTGCAATACATATTCAGTCGAACGTTTTGCCTCCCGTTCCGAGAAAAAGAGAAATCGAAAGAGTGAAAAAGAGATATGCGTAAAGAGAGATATACGCGCTTTATGTGTGTGTGTGTGTGTGTGTGTGTGCAACGTTGTTTCTAATTGCAAACTCGCGTTCCTGGAATGTAGATGGACCGAGAGGACGAGGACTTTGGCGAGGGCTATATCGCGGAGTCACACCCGCTGAGACCGACGCATCTCTCGGTACCGCTCGGTGGACGTTCGGATTCGCGCGCGCCCAGCATCAGCAGCAGCGTCAGCGACCTCGATGTTCCGATATACACCAGAGACACGACCGTGCCGTTGTCGGCGAGGAAGGTGAGTCTTAGCCATGATATGTTCAGTGAACGAAGAAGCGAGCGCGTCTCTCGCGCAATCAAGCGACTCGCGCGTGAGAGAGAAAGAAAGAATGGAGAATCCAGAATCTACTTGACAAGGAGATCTGCGTAGCGAGATACGCTGCTGATCTTCCCCGCTTGTAATATTGCGCGTTTGCTTGCCGCACGCGGACATAATTAAATCGCCCATTCCTCCGAGAATGATCGCTGGACTGATGAGTTAACTCAATCTTTACGCTCGTTTGCTTATGAGCGGAAACTTCGTCGCGAAGTGATGTCTACGCGGTGTGTCATTTCCCGCCCGCATCTTGCGACGGTTTTGATTCCCGTGGAAAAAGAGTATCCGCCATGAAGCGGAGGAGAGACATTGCAGCGGGGCGCGTTGCTCGCCCCCGCGTCCCTGATCGATATTACCTGTCTAAGACGCACCAGACGCATCTCGCCGAGCGCAGCGCCGCCGAAGGGGAATGTCTATATTGAAAAACGTGCGATAGCGGGAAAACACCCTATTTTTAGGGTTGTGTCGAAATCGCGGTTATTCGAGGCGAGATGGACCGGCACGCGCGCGCGCCCGCGTCTCGCGGATGATATAAATGTAACGTGCATATGAGCCGTTAAATTCTGTTTATGAGAAGGCGTCTCGTGCGACTTCGCGACACGTGTAACGCTTCCGCAATCGGATGCGAAGAACGGTGTTCAACCCTCTAACTAGGGTGGCCGAAAATTCACCCGATGGTATTTTTCAACTGTCGCCGCTAGATAGCAGCACGTTACACAGCGGTGTCCGGTAACGGGGAAGGCGGGGGGGATAGGTTATTCCAACTCCTCGGTAAGTTAACTGATAGTTAAATCATATGTCTGTCTTCGTTTAAATTGAAGGAAAAACAAAGATAAATATATGATTTAATCATCAATTAATCAAATTTATCACTTAACTTACCAAAAAGTTGGAACAACCTAAGTTTTATAATATGTTCGTAAATATTTATAGTTCGCTCATGTACGCTCAGAAAAAAAGTAAAAAGAAAATCATGGGTGAAAGATCACTCGCTCTAATAATAAGACGTAAGAAGAACATCCTCAAGTTCAAGGGTCAAAGTCTCAGTCGCATCGATCACTTCACTTCGTTGCATTTGGATACAATGTTCTTCTCTGAAGGCGTGTCTCACGTCATTCCATGTAAATATCTCGCGAACGTGCTCATTATCGCGCGTCTATGAAAACTGGTCTCCGATCGCTTTCCGTCACGATCGCAGGAATTATCCTTACGTAACACGCGGCTCTCCCCGACCAGGCGGAGGCATGTCGAGCACGACAACGCGAATCCACGTGCGAGACACTCGGAATGAGAAAAGCGCTCGGTTTATCAACATAGACCGCGTCTTCTTACAAGCGATTTCAAGACAGGACGCGAAGGATAGCTATATCCTGATCTCATTGACTATCTTTATTTAGCTTACTCCGATAAGAGCCCAGCTAGGCACAAAGATCGGCACAAACTGTGTGTTTTGCAGATTTTGTTTTCTTTCCCGTCGGCTGTTCGTCGCCGACGAGAAAATGTCTGTCGAACATTGTCAATTGTTTTAATGGGCGTGTAAACGCACGCGCGCGTGCTCAGGAATTTTCCCGTGGCGTAGGCCGATGACTGGGATAATTATCACGTCGTCGGCTCCCAGGAGGAGGGATCCGCGTGTCGCGCAAAACGCCTACCCGCGTTTCTGCTTTTCTTCATGTCCCTTCGCGCGAGACGATCCTCGCAAGTCTGCATGGATCTGTGCGAAATCAATCGCTCGCAGGACTCCTACGTTCCCTATGTTTCGCCGCATCGCTTCGGATTTCGCGCAGTTCTCGTCCGATCGATTCGACGCGTCACTCGAGAATCGTCATGCGCGGTCTCGCCAGGGTCTCATCCGGCGCGATGTATTTACATTCTCACTTTCTCGCTTTCCTAACGAAATATTGCGCGATGCACCTCTCCTGAAGAGCCGGCCTACGCCTGGGCGCCACGGCCGTCATGGTCGTATCAGCGTTGTTATTGTGCAACAATATCTAGTGCAGCGATCGTTTTACGTCACGGCCGATCCGATCCTCGCAATCGCGATCAATAATTTCGCCAATGTTCGTATCGTTGCGATCAACGGCGTAACTGGCATCCGAAAGACCCTCTTGCTCTCGTGTTGCTTCTTACAGTTGCAAGTTTGGGTCATTCATCTTGCCTCCCTAATTTTGCCGTAAGCCCGATCATACGTAGAATATACATTGAACATGGGGAACACAAAAAACGAAACGCGATTATAGCCGACATTATGGCATGGCGTGCGTATGAAAGATTCAACGTCCGTCTTTCCCTTTTCGCTCCTTTCCCTTTCCATCCCATCTCGTTTTATTCTCCACGGCCTGTCACCTCCACTCCCTTTTTTTTCTTCCTTTCATCCCTCTCAATACTTTAATACCCATCCCCCCTGCGATATTATTTTCTCTTTCCTCTTCCTTGTCTCTCCTTCTCTCTTCTTCTCGCTTGTTGTATCGTCTTTTTTCCATTCGTTCCCTCTCTTCGGCTGCTGCTCTTTTCTTTTTACTTCACGAAACTTTGTTAGTTACGCCACTGGATGCAACGCGTGTGCGAGACATAATACATAGATGAAGTTTGCTCACGCATGACGCAACACGCGCGGAGCGTCCGCGCACATTTGACCTGAGTTAATGGAATTTTAAGTATTCGATTAATATGCCTCGGTGATTAATAAATCGCGGGTCTAATTAAGCGGCACGTACCACGGCTGGAAAAAAAAAATACGACAACCGCCGAGCGACACTGTGATCCTCACAAATTATCCTGAAACAATGACAAATTATCCTGAAACCTGATACAAATAAGAAGTGGCGAATTTCGCGTCTCATCACGCAATTCAAAATTTCTTCTGACTTACATCCCGACTCGCCTTTCATTCTTCCTTCTCGCGCGAAGCTGCGTCGCTTATCGCACGTGTGCGGTGAATCTTTTACTCGGCTGCGTCGTCCATGTGAAATTCGGCGAAACAGAATAAGAAGGAAATAATTTGAACTCGCGCGCGTACGCGCGCGAGCAATATCACGCAACAATATTTCGCGGGTGACCCGTTGTGACATTTTCAACAGGTGGATTTTCACTTTCGATCGCACGTCCGCGATGACGTAAATCCATGGGCGACCGCTACGGTATCGACCGAGACAGGGGTTCCCATCGCTCGCACTAGATACACGTTTCTCAACAACAAACTCACGAACACGTCCAGCTCTCAGGTAACGAGCGGAGTGTCGATTCAATCTCGACGAAATGATCGAATTTGCGGCCCTCCCGAGAGGGCCCGGGCTTTAATATGATTTTTTCTCTACACGTGACTGGAACATTTAAGAGGTTATGACGCTAGCGCATCATTTTAAGCACGTCGGGAGAAAAATACATTCTGCTTCTCGTCGCTCTTTTCACGCTAGACTCTGCGATAGGTCACCGTTAGCGGGGTTCGCGACGACGACGACGACGACGATGATGAAGGAGAACACTCCGCAGCCGCGGCGTGCGATTGGTCGATTAGGTGGGTGTGCTTGAAGGCACGTCACGTCGTCGTCGTCGCCGTGAGACGAGACGGTCGTTTCTCCTTATCTGACGAAAGTTGCGGCGAGAATTACGACGCTTCGTGCAACAACACGGGCTATTTGCCCCGCGTCGTAAAAATAGAAAATTGTTACGTGGGTCTGCGCGAGCAACGTGACTTCGCGCGCGAACCAAGTCGAGCGACGCGATTGGCTACTCACGTGGGAGTGTCCGTGGAGTAGTCATCCGCGGGATTTTCCTCCACTTTGTGGCGTTTCTGGCGAAATTGCTGGTGATCTTGCGGTGGAAACAGGACGCGACTTCCTTGTTCCTGTGCAGTCGCATGATTTTCATTCATAAGACATTCATGAATCGCGCGTCGTATTAACTTTCTCGAGACGTATAAACGGAAAGAAATGTCGTTTTGTATAACTGAGGAAGGAAACTTCGGAGATGGAAACTTAGGACTCAACAGTGACAACTCTGTTGGCACCGGCGAAATCAGCAACATTCGTCTAATCGTTCGACTGCTTTAAAATTCGATTGACACAACTGAGAACAATTGACCGAATAGAAACTTCCTGCAGGAATCTTTCTGTTCCTACAAACGAACTTTCGTCTGCTCTCTAGATAAAGGATTAATTATACAAGTCGAGTCTGTATGATAAAATCTAAGCAGGCATTCGAAGCCGATCCCGAACTTGTAATTCTTATTTGTCATATTTTTTTTTCTTACAAGTCAGATTTCATGAAGAGCTCCTTGATTCATCGAGAAAATCATATTCGCGTATCTTATCGGATGTCATGTACGATCGCGGAGATTTTAATTACACATTATCACGTCATCGACATCAGCGATCAATATTATTAGGTGCAGGTGCTTTCGCTCGTAATCTTTCGTCCGATGACGAATCGAATGCGATAAGAAGATTACTCGGCAAGTGTGTCGCATATTGAGATCGAGCAGATCTCATATAGACGACCCACGACGAAGCGCCGATCGACTGCGATCTGCAATTACATCGAGCTGACTACGAGAAAGAGAGAAAAGTAGAAACGGTAGAGTCACGTAGTCAAGTACATACTTTCTCACATTCCCTTCCAGAAGAGACACTTCATCTTGACATTAACTACCTGGACCGAACGAGTTTTCGCGAGTGAGTCGTCGCTCGGGTTTATTTTTCGGAACAACACGCACGACGCGTGTCAATAACTGGCTCTGAGCAACACGAGTTGCATTCTTTGTCCCCTCAAAGTGTTCACCGGACTTACCCGGGATGAGGTGATGAACGTTTCGGTTACATTTTCGTGCGATCGCACCTGGCAGCTGGCCAGCTCCCGCGACCGTTTCGCAGACGCGTGACGTCACCGGCTGGCGCGACGTGCCTTTTCGCAGACGGGTCGAGAGACCCGCCCTGAACGCGTGTGCGTGTCACGCGTTCACCTTGCTCTCTTTCCCGTCCTTTCCTTTTTGCGAACGAACGCCAAAGGCAGCCGTTTTAACGGTCGCAGAACGGAACGGGCGGGAAGAAAGCGACCACGCGTGTTCAACAACACCGCGTGGAACGCGTCTCTCGTCTAATTCGCTTCTGCAAACAAATTCGAGTACCGACTATTGCAAAGCCGTCGACTTTTTCGCGGATCTTTTCCTCGGGGGAAATTCGCGGCATATACCGACCGGTAAATTGCACTCCCAAGTAGCACAAGAAATTCCACTCATTCCAGACAGGATATCCTGAGGAATGTCCTGGGACATTCCTTGAGTGTATCCAGTATATGATATCTGGACGAATTATGCTGTATAGGATATAATAGTTACTCGGGGGATTATCAGCGATGATTATATCGACGGTTATCATCAAGAGCGACTTTTTTTTTAACCGCCGTTGTCGCGATGAAAGACAAAAACTTTTACCCTCCGTAGTACTTTCCCAAAACTTCATTCGCTAAAGTTTACTTACGAAACTGTGAACTAAGCTCGAAAATTATAATTAGGCTGTAAATTGAGGAGAGATCAATGCCAAACCGCTCAGAGAGAAAATCATTAATTTTTAAATACTCCACACAGAAAGTGATATTAATGCGTAAATACGATAAACTATTCTATAACAAGCTGCTTCTCTGCCCGTCGACGAGCTTGAAACTATATAGTTTCGTTCGTGCATCTCCCTAAAATGACGGTTAGTTATACCGTTTCCCCTGACGTCATCGTTTAAACGATCGGTCCGAAATCTGTGTGGACGAATGATGCAATGGCGATTCACCCGCCGTGTTGGGAGTTCTCCCCCGTCACGAGAGGGTGAAACACACTCGTGCGCTTGCGCCGTGCGAGGTCGACCGACGATGGGGTCGCGCCAGCTGCGCCAACCCTTGTCGGAGGGGGTGTAGGCACGCGAGGATCGAATCGAACCCTCAGAATAGACGAGCCCGCGTTTCCTGTCTCACCTGCGTGTCGTCGAAGGTGAGTCTGCAAAACGCTTTCCGCGTGCATTCCGTGAGATCCACGCGCGATTCCCGCTCGTCCGCTCGAAGTTCGCTCGAGTCGCGGAATTCGCGTCGCATTTTGGCGCGTCCTCGCCACGGGCGAATCGACGGAGTTTCGCGACGAACCTTCGCCGCCGTCGCAAGTAGCGTCGATCCGGCTGGGGTTCAGCCGACGTGTCTGTTGAGCTCGATACTGTTATCAGGGATCGAAGACCGCATAATATCAGCTGTGTACTCTCGTCAAGTCTGAATTTTCGGATATAGAAAAATGTATCTCTGCGCTGCTCGAGTTACTCCGGAAAAATCCGGAGATCTTTTTCATTTCTTCCTTCTTGATGCTCTTCGATCCTATCTTGAAAAGTCAACCTTTCAATATGTCAAAATGACACCGACTTTGAACTTGGATTCAAGCTTGATTTACCCAGCTGTTATTAGATTGTCGCCATTATAAACGCGGGAAAGTGTATATTTTGTAGCGGTTCAGCTGCCAACAAATTTTTGGAAGATGATTTCAGACGAGATAAATTGTCTCGTCGAAACGATGCCGGTCTCGAACTCGATTCCGAGATTCAGCCAAAAATTATCGAACACGAACGCATTTGACATTATTAACGTCGTAATCGCGGAACCGTCGATCTTTGCGATTGGCCTCTGCTACGATTTATCGGGCAAGTCGGGTTTTCCCGCGATTAGACGACTAGAGGGAGACGAATGTCGTGTTTATGATGAAAATGTGCGTTTCTCTGAAGAAATGAGAGTCCGATAAGGTCCGATAGAGCGAAAGGGGAAACATCAGCTGTCCATTCCGCGCGAGATATCACACACATTTATGCTCGATATTTCATTTCATTAGTTTCGCGTGACACCATTGTGCCATTCACAGCTACGTGATTGTGCCGTGCACGCGCGCATCGTAGGTGATTTGTCAATTTTTCGTTTGGCAGCGTAACACGTTTCGCGATTTAGCCGCTTACGGCGATGTCTCGTCTGAAACAGAGAGAGACGCGGTTGCGTAACATGATTATTGGGTAAACTTCGGTTTGCAAGAGCTTGTGTTTTTATCGAACGCGATAATGAGTAAATGAGAGGTTTTAAAATTAATTAAAGCAAGTTTTCGCGCGCGCGCGCGCGCGCGTTATCGTATAATTATATCACGATGTGACTTGAGTTTCTTTCACGCACGCGTATTATCCCAGTTGTATTACGTGCATCTGCGTAATAGAAGTGGGCCGCTTGCTTAAAACGAGATATCAGCCCGAGCGACAGTGAGATCAATTAATCGACGATCTGTACAAGTTATAATTATCGGATCTTTTAGGGGAGGAGATATCCGAACCGCATTTATTCGTGCTAATTCGAGGTCTCGCGACGTTTCTAGACAGACACACAGAGACATTTTCATTATTTCTGTATAAGGTCTTTGCACGTTCACCTCGCAAACGTGACACAGCGGCGACCGCCGAAATATCTCGGGAATTCTATTTTTTTCAGCAAACGATGCTAAGATTGAACGGGTCTGCCGATGTTTCGCCGGTTCTCGTCGCTGATTACGCGCTGATTTCTCTCATCATATTTACATTCGTCCTTCCTGCGTGGGCTTTTTCCATTACTACATTTTCCATTATTACATCGCACTATACGTCCACACAATCAAGCGATATCGACATATCGTGGCGTACGCGTTGACAAGAATCGTCATCGCTTCTCGAGATTTTTTATCGCCGAGAAACAGGATTCTTTCATCTTCGAGATACTGCTTTTCCGGGTCGTGTCGTATTTACACTGGCAGATGTATTTGCTTAGCTGTACTCGTGGACGTGCGAGCATATGGCTTTCCGAACTTCACTCACTAACCAGTCTGTTTCCTGTTCTTTCAAGCTGCTATACAATGGGCGTGGAGAAGGAAAAGGTATCGTATACATCTTAGCGTGACACGCTCGTCGGTGGCGTAAGCTGGAGGTTGTAAGATGGGATTTGTAAAAATTTCGAGGTCTAATCCACTGAACAAAGTTCATAAACAACAAATAAGGCGGGGAAAGAGATGACACTTCGTGTCATTTATTTATATATTTTACATTTTGTACATATATGCATACCTTTAGAGACTTCTATATCTTATATTCGTTTTATGTCTGTCACAGAAAGAGTTTAAACACAATGCGCACGCGTAAAACGTAAAGTCGTAATTTTATTCCTCGCTTAAATACGCCACGACAAAGTTAAA